AGTAAAAGGATGGTGAAGGAATTTACACACACACACACACACACACACACACACAAATCCATGTGCTACCTGGCTGTTTTTGGCAACTCCCAACTCAAAGCAACTTCTTGAAGTCTTAATGATGTTTTCAAATAAATGATGATTTTTTTTTATTCTTTCATTTTATTTTTTTCATGGATATATCTGGGTTTGTATGTGTTTGTGTGTATTTTAAATTTTTAAATATACGACTTTTTCTTACACCATTGTTAATTTTTGGGACAACATATAATTCCTCTCCTCAGGTGTGCCCACAGCATTTCTCCTACCACCCAAGCCCCCAAGGTCCTCCACCATATTCCCTTGTGCTCCCCCACCCTCTCTTTCTATTCCTCCCCCATATGATGAATTTTTATGCAGAGGAGGGGAAACTCATGATAGATGTTTCTCTAGGAGCCAGAATATTCCAAAGATGAAAGAGCTGCTAGAGATCCAGAACATTCTATATCACCAGAGGTATTCTAACCTGGTTGGATAAATATTTGGTGGAGATAGTGTGGATTTTAATAGGCTTTTGACACTGGAAAAAAATAGGTGGCAGTATCAGATACACCTTCCAACCCTGAAATTCTTCAGTTCTCTCAGATTCTGCTATCCCCATATATGGTCCATGGGCTTCTGAATTTGGTGTCCAAAGCCTCAAATTAATTTCTTACAGATTTGCAGCATTAATATTGTGAGCAAGGTCCCATGAGTGTCAGGAATGACTGAGTGTTCATGACCTAGTTGAGACATAAACCCAAATGAAACAGTGTTCAGGATTAAAATGAAATGTGCCGATAAAGACATACTGTGTCCAAAGAGTTCAGAGAAAGGGCTGGAGGAGGTGGGAGGACATGGAGAAATCCTCACAGCAAAGGCTTCTCACTCCATGTTTGTGTATACAAGGGACTCCAGTGGTTTTAGAAATTGTGACAACAAAGATGTATATGGAAGCAAACACAATCAGTTGCTTCTTCCTTTGATGGCAGAATCTGGTGTGGTCGCTGGAGCGCCACACACCATATGCATGAGTCCTTTTAGAGTGTCTCTCCCATTATCGCTCTCACAGCCACTGCAGAGCAACCCGCAGAGGCAGACTTTGGCTCTGCCCCTCTTGCTCACACACAGCCACGTCGGGAATGGATGGATCTGACAGGGGTTTTATTGACTAAGCTTTCTGTTCTTTATCTTCTGGATTGCCTCTGACCATTTCCAAATCCAGCAGCCTTTTATCCATGAAATGAAGACTCTCCTCCCCTTGGCTCTCTGCAGCCTATGATGATAATTATGAGAATAAATTACCCTTCACTTTTATTTAGGGCTTTACACTTCCAGACACTCTCCCCACTGGCTCTTTTGTTTATTCATTGTGACAACACTGGGGAACGTGAGGAAGGCTCTAGGATGGATTCTGAGGAGAGAAGGCTTGTCCCAGGTCACGCTAAAGAAATGAATGGGAACCCAGGTCTACTGACCCCTGAGCTGGTCTGCTGGTGTAGACGGTGTGAACAACACACACATGTTCCCATTCCTGGGGTTTGTGTGTCCTCACCCGGCTAGTCAAGAGCTGGTTAGCCCCTCTGGGGCTTGTCCTCAAAAGCATTCAGGTCTGGGTAGTCTCACAGGAAGCCAGCTTCATTCAGAAAGCGTCTCCAAAGGTTTACTTCCATGCCTGAGTGGCTGGATCCTGGCCCAGGATCATTGGTGTGCCCCAGAACCCCAGAGCTTCTCGGCAGCCGACCCAGGGTTGACGAGTGGGGGTGGAGAGGAAGAACCTCAGAGGCAACATCTGTCTCCCCTGCATTTGTTTTATAACCGTTTGCAAAATTATTGACTTCAGAACTAGCACACTGACACGTGAGCTGGAAAAACATAAGTTTATTAATTTAATCAAATGAAAGTTAGAACAAAGTTAATACAACACATTTAATGATAGTATGGGGTGGATGTTCTGCATGGTTATTAGGCAGAAATGGTAAACAGCGCATATGAATGACTGTAATTAGTACTGCTTTTACCAGAGCCAAATCAACAGTTAAATTTCTCTCATCTCATTTTATTAGTTCTCCAGTGTTTCTAGAGCTGGAATAGCAGTCTCAAATTTTCCATGGTATTGTTATAGGACAGCCCCGATATTGAACCACATCCTTTCCCCCTAACAATATCATTTGCCACCTAGCCTCTGAATTTCTTTGAACACAGGAAGATAATTCCAGGGGTTAAGAGGAGACCATCTTTCTTTCTAAAATTTCTTGCTGACTGTATTCCTTTCCGTCCCTGAGGTGTCCCCTAACCAACAGCATGTGCCTTTGCTCCTTATTTCTCTCCAAGGTTTTCTTGTATTTGTCACGGGCTAGCTGAGAATGAAAGTAACAGCCTAAAACATCTGTCATTTACCAAGAAGTCTTTGCTCTTAGCGAAGAGATGGTTAACAAACCAGGATGCCAAACTCGTAGGAAAACACAGTGCCCAGCAAAGTCTGGGGAGCTGTGGCCTTATTTCCTGCACCTCCTGGGGTCATGGCTGCAAGCAAGTTTCAGGTCCTGAGGGTATAGCCAAGGAAGGGAGCTCAGAAGCTGGTGCTCTGATAAGAATGATGCTAACCAGGGACTCAACCCAGTCCTTCGCCTGCTCAGTTTTGTGGTTTTGCAACAGGGTGGTCCCCAGGAAAGGGGGAGGTTCCCTGCCCCACCCAAGGGAGGGTGGAGCTGAGCAGCAAAAGAGGAAGCTGAAGAAGAGACTGAGGAAGGAAGGAAGCAGGATGGAGCCAGGAGACCTGGAGGAGGCGCATGGAGCCTAGAGACACGTGAAGAAACTGCGCTTGTCTTTTGGTTGTGGACTGGGTGACACAGATGTGGGTGAGACCCGTGGGGAGGTGACCATGGCAGCTTTTATCTTGATGTTGATTTTGCTCTTTTCCTTCCGGGCTTGTCTGGTTGTTTGTGACCCTTTTCTGTGGGTCCCCACTGGAAGATGTTTTAGACTTGTGGTAGACTTTGGGGCCTTGTTCTGGGCCGATCCCATATGGATGGACTTTTACCCACGAGGGGATGGGTAACTTTGGGTGCTTCATTTAGAAACTAGATTCTTTGCCTTACCTGTATTGTTTCCTAGTTTTATTAAAGTTCCTTTTCATTAAAGTCTCATATGTTTTGTGTTGATGCGGCGGATGGCAGAACCCATTTAGAATAGGCAGGTTTGCGGGGTTTGGGCTGCCCCTCTCCCTGTCCTATAACAGATTCTGCAGGTCTGGAGAGTAGCCAACCAAATGGCTCGTTAGTCATTGCATGTGGCAGAGGTCTTGGTGCATGTGATATAAATGGTGCGCAGCAGATAGCAGGTGAGGAAGGGCCAACCGTGGTCTTCAGGGCTGCAGGGTAGGCCTGGCACTGGATTAGGTTAAAATGGTGGAAGGCTCAGGGGAATAAATACATTCCCACCTTTGGTGTTGTTTTCAGCGATCTCCAGAGTACACTTGAGAACTGACAACCAGAACTGTTTCTTCAATTGTTAAAACCTGCTTATCTGACTCAAAGGCAAAGGGGGCTTCTCAGCTTTTGAGTTTAAAATGACAAGAGCCAAAATTTAAGAGTGTTAGATGTTCAAACCAGAGCTTGAGAGTCACAACATCAACTTATTCCCTGGAGTCAGAAGTTCTCTTAACAGCGGAGAAAGCAGACAGCAAGTGAGGAGCAGAGAAAAGATATAAAAATGCAATTCCCTAGCAGTGTTAATGTTTTGGGGTGATAACTTCCAGGCTCAGTTCAAATGCTAATACCTGATCTTTCATGTTTGAATGTGGAGGAGCATTCCAAGGAGGATCTATTCCTGGGAGAGAGGAGAGAAAGCCCCAGGGATGACCTTCAAACATTGTCCCCATCACCATGTTTTTCTGTATGTGATGTAGGAGCAGAGCACTCAGGTGCCTACTTTCTTTTTTTTTTTTTTTAAAGATTTATTTATTTTTGCATACAAGAGCTGGGATACAGGCCAGAGGTGTGGGGGATGAGAGGATTCACTAGAGACAGAGTGGGGAGCAGAACAGGCAGATTCACTGAAATACACTGCTGAGGGGAGCAGCGGGCGAGACAGGAGAGGTCTGCTGCGCCATGTGGGTCGCTCCCTGGCTGGCTGGGGATCAAACTCGTGCTGCAGTGGCTGTGGGTAGCTTTATAGTGCTGTGTTTTAACCCCTTGTGCCACCAGGGAGGCCCTACTTTTTGTCTTCTTTAGAGCAAGGGGAGGATGCTGAGCTTGGGGATGAGGACACCTCATTAGCATCACCAGACTTTAACCAGCTGGCCCTTCTCACACTGTCTGCCTGAGGCCCAGTGTCTACAATGGTGTGGGCACTTGGAAGGAGTGACCCCTTTCTTTTTGGGGGATGTGGTGCTGGTGGGTTGTTATTATCATCATGGAGTCTTTTGAGATCTAATGAGAAATGTATCACACAAACAGCTTCAGGAGACTCTCTGATAATGCAGCATTAGACAGTAGCCAGGTAGCCAGGTAGAGAGAAAGCACCCAGAGTGGGAAGGAGAGAAACAAGAAACTAAGCAGGAAAGAAGTCTACACAGTGTAACTTGATATTGCCTAAGGCATAGGGATCATCCGGCAAAGGGTGGTGAGTATAACAGAGGCCAGGAAAATGGTGTTAAAACCAAACAGAGTAGAGAGAAAGAGATGGAGACAAAATAGCGTTGCCAAGAGGCATGTGACCCTCTGGGATTGATGGGCAAGAGATAAAGCAGAGAGGCCACCCAGCACTTCACAGCAGCCAGAGCAGGTGCTACTGAGTCTCAGTGGCCAGTTAATCCTGAGAAACCCATCCTGTGGCTTTGCTTGAACTGACCCATGCAGACACCCCCGCCACCTGCAGCTTCAGATGAGGTTCTGGTGCCTGAGCTCCAGCATTTTGTCACTGTGAGTGAAAGCATCTCGGTTTAGACCTCATCAATCTTTCCTCTTGCCACCTTGCAGGAAAATTGCCACTTATGATGAAGAAATCCAGCATCTCTATGAAGAGATGGAGCAACAAATCAAGAGTGAGAAGGAGCAGTTTCTCCTGAAAGTAAGAGTCCACTCCGGGGTTTTGAGGGCCAGGTTGAAATACCAGCTACTCTGACTACCTCCCCCCAAAATAAGGGTGCAATGCCTCCACCTATGGTTCAAACCCCTGCCCACAGGTCACCCTGAGCCTGGCCTGTTGCTGCAACCCCCTCCCTCTTCACAAGACATGTTGGTTTGATCCAATTTTTAATGTGACACTGTTTTGGATTATCCACACCACGACTTCATTTATTATCCCAGATGTCATTCAGACTGAGAGGGAGTCTAAATGCTTTCCAGAAAAAGCCTGTCATGTCTTCCAGCTCCAGCCCTCAGGAGACTTGTCAGTGTTTCCAGACCTCCCTAGTTCTTTTTTGGAGCTGTGAAACATTCTGGCTATCCCTGGCCCTTGACCTGGCTGATGTCTACTGTGCACAGAGCTCATCACTCCCTACTTAACAGACCCTACAATTGCTTTCTGAAAACGGTGGCCTTTCCCCGTGCTGCCTTCACCCCAAATGACATTCCATTGCGAGGGCTGGTACCCTGGGTACTTTTGCTTCCTCTGCTAGGACCATGACTCGAGGTCAGAAGTCCTAGCTAGGGAAAGAAGCAAATTCCAGAAGCAATAGGGACACTAAGGCATGGGGATGAGGACTTGGAAGAGATCAGAGGAAAAACGTCAAGGACAAATTCGTATTGTGTAAGATGACCCGGCAGTGCAGCCTCACCCCTCACCCGCTTTTCCCTTCTCAGTACCAAATGCCTTCCAGGCTCGGTGCTTAAATTTATGCCTCTTGCAACAACATGGAAGATAGATAAACACATAAGGTGTGTTTGGTCACGCTATTAAGCCCTTGGATGCACGAGTTTTGCCTGGCCATAGCTTTTATAAGGATAGTGGAGTTAGTGTATGGCAGCCTGGAAAAGGTCAGACCCTCTGGCCAGGGTTTGGAAACTGCCTCTGCATTTGACAACTGGTTTGACCACACGGGAAATAACAGATCATTTGTATGCACTGGCCCCGGGACAGCAGGCCCTGCGGAGCTCTGTGCGGGCAGGGCAGGCAGGCGCTCGCGTCAGCACGGACGTTCTGCAGCTGCGCCCATCCCTGGCACGGTCCGCGGATGCCAGCGACGTGAGCAGCAGCCAAGCCCAGTGAGGCGAGTTCCCTGGTAATAATGTCAGGAGCAGAAACTCCCAGTCAATCCTGCTTCTGCCATCAAATGTGGTTGGGATAAGGGCCATCACAGACTCTTCCACAGCTCAACTTACCTGACCCAAACAGGCAGAGAACCAGGTGAAGTCTGCAGGTGGGGAGGCCAGGTGATGTCCTGAGCCCTTGTCGGGGGTGGCCAAAGCTCTCTGCCCCCAGAGCTGCTGCCCTCCTTCCTCTGAGGCTGCCCTGGCACACCCATCCTAGCACCGGGACACAGCTGCTCCCCTGGCACGGCCCCACAGCTTCCTCTCTGGGAAAGAGAGACCTGGGGAGGCCGTGGCGAGTTGCATGCAGGTTATAATGTCTTTTCTCTTTCTGGGGCTGGTACTCCCCTGTACATCAGCAAGCAGAGTGTTATGGATGGTAAGGGTTTTTTTCTCTACTGTGAACAAAGAAACAATGATCTAGAAGAAGGAAGCGGGTTAGCTGGGCAAGGCCAGGGCGAGAACTTGTGTCTCCTGACACCCACATGGAGCCCTGACACCAGGCCAAGCTCTGTGGAGACATCAGGCATCCTGACACCCCCATACTTAGTCCTACTGCCAGCGCCCTTCACCCCTGTGCTGCCAGAGCCTCAGCAACCCTGAGTAGGGAAGGCCAGTTCTGGGAGGAGCAGGCCCAGGAGACTCAACCACAGTGGGAGCACAGTGCCCCCAAGCCCTGGGCGGAGGGAAAGGTGCCCTTCAGTTTCCAGAATGAGGGAAGTTGAAAGGGTTGAATGACTGTGCCCACAATGGAGACAAACATCCACACATCCACACAGCCCCAGTCCAGTGTGCCCTCAACTCACATTGCCTCCATTTGAGGGACCACACCTGCTCCTCCCTCGACCATGGTCACACTTGGTTGTGGGCTCAGCCTTCAAACAAGTTCCAGGTGGGGAAAAACATGTCCTTCCCAGGTGCACCAGAGCTCATGTGTCCCTCTGTCCGGCTTGGCAGGACACGGAGAGGTTCCAGGCCCGCAGTCAGGAGCTGGAGCAGAAGCTGTCCGCCAAGGAGCAGGAGCTGGAGCAGCTGGTGCAGAAGCAGAAGCGGGTAGGCCTGTGCCGGCCGCAGAGGGCCTGGCTTGCCCCTCCATCCTCTCTGGCTTCTGCCCACTTTCCCTGCCTTTCACTAAAGCACATTTTTTTTTTTTTAAACTCGAGAGGAACCATTTAGCAAGACAGAAAAATAGCAAAAAATAGTGAAGTCACAGGCAATGGCAAGATCAAGCCTTCACTGCTCAGGGCCCGCAGTTTAGGGGTTCTCCCTGGAGGTAATGCGAACACAGCAGAACAATGCCCAGGAGCTTCCAGGACCCTGAGACTTCCTTTGTTTCCTACATCCTGTCTAAAAGAAGAGGGGTGCTGGGCCTCCCTGGTGGCGCAGCGGTTGAGCACTGGGTTGCGAAGCTTCCTGCAACCTCTGCAGCGCCGGTTCGATCCCCGGCCGCCAGGCGAGGGTCCCACATGGCGCGCAGACCTCTCCTGCCGCCCGCTGCTCCCCTCAGCAGTGTACCTCGGTCCTTCTGCCTGTTCTGCTCCCCGCTCTGGCTCTGATGAATTCTCTCACCCTCCCACGCTTCTGACTGTACCCAGTGCTTGCATCAATAAATAAATAAATCTTAAAAAAAGAGAGAGAATAGGGGTGCTGAGGACATTGATAGCTTGGAACGGGACTGCAGACAGTGATGATGTCTTCTGCCAGGGTGGCCATGGACACCTCCAGTTGGAAGGAGGTCTTCAAAAGTCAGTTTTTCCAAACCTGTCTCCCCATGTGCCTGGATGAGATTCCTCAGCCTCACTGGTGGTTGTTCCAGACCCTCATCCCCTACCCCAGAGGGGTGCAAACGCCAGGAGGTGGGCTGGGCAGAGTAGGGCACAGGGCCATGTCCTTCCACGATGGCTGAGGACCCTGGCTAGTTGCCCAGGTGGAATGATTGCCTAGGTGAACCTCAGGTTTGCAGCCACCTCTACAGAGCAAGGGCTCATGGCGGGGAGAGACCAGGATGCCTTGATCACTCGTTTGGTTTGTCTGGGGCTGGAAGGAACCCAGCCCTTGAGAGACTCAGGCACATTGCTTCCATGCCAATAGAGGGGGCTGTTATAGCAACACATTAAACCATGCTTGAGAGCACCCCATTCTAAAGCTGGAGACCTCCACTCCAAGGCTACCCAACCTATGGATTTTAGTGTCTTTCCTTTCTGCAGCAAGATGATTTCAACACCAGCAATGTCCTGCTGTCCTCCCATTCACCCCACAGCCCCACCTTGCTCTCCAAATTTTTCTCCTCATCACTATTATGCATTGGTTTTTACCAATTCGATTTACCCCTCAAATGAATAATTGTCACTCGATTTAATTACTGAATGCTTGCCTGATTACACAGGAGCCTCTTGAGAATCACACAAAATTCCCTGTTGTCACTTCTTCCTCCCCTTACTGGCCACATTCATTAAACTAAATTTATTATGATATATTTGCCTTGGTTTGATTTTTCCTCTGGTGAGAGTTTGGAAGCTCTGCAAAGCATAATCGGCAGCCAAGAAAAGCTAAGTTAGAAAAATGCAGGGTTTTTTGTTGCTTTAGGAATGTAAGAAAAGGTATATGTTTGGTATGACCTATATTAGCTATCTCCTAAGAATTTCCAGGGTTTCCATCTAGCATTCAAACTCCTCTAGATAAAGGGAATTGGACTTATTTAACTGAGAGATGACATAGGGAATAAATAGGTTTACTCTCCATATTCAAAATTGGGAAGGATGGGTTATGAAGAATTCTACTCAGCTGGTCTCCAAATGAATCAAGGGCCAAGGAAAAGAAATGAACTTTAAAGACCACAGAAAGGGACCTCCCTGGTGGCACAAGGGGTTAAGCACCACAGTATGAGGCAGTCCGCAGCCTCTGCAGCACAGGTTCGATCCCCAGCTGCCAGGGAGTGGCCCACATGATACAGCAGACCTCTCCTGTCTCGTCTGCTGCTCCCCTCAGCAGTGTGTTTTGGTCAGTCTGCCTGTTCTGTTCCCTGCTCTGTCTCTGGTAAATCCTCTCACCCCCCGTATCTCTGGCCTGTACCCCAGCTCTTGTGTACATAAATAAATAAATCTTAAAAAAATAAAAAGACCATGGAGAGATTTAGCCTAGAGCTCATGTCCACTGATGAGATGATTGCAAGACCATTGAGAAGATGACAGTCATCATTATTTATTTTGGAATAAGAGACACAAATGCATTGTAGAATTTCCTTTCTTGGATTGTTTAGCACTCTGGACTATTTAGTTGCCATTTGAGAAGGAGAGGCACAATGTGAGCAGGAGGATGAAGCTTATTGAGACTCAGGGGCAAGGAGGGGTGGCAGGGATATTCCTGGCCCACCAAGGGAGGGCTGGGCCAGCAGGCTGAAGGTGGTGTGTGCTCATCACTCCCCACTGTCCTCTTCCCCATTCCTTTGCAGCTGGAAGGCCAGTGCACAGCCCTCCATAATGACAAGGATGAGACCAAGGCTGAGAACACCAAGCTGAAACTCACAAACCAGGAGCTGGCCCGGGAGCTGGAGAGGACCACCCAGGAGCTGCAGGCTGCCCAACAGCAGCTGGAAAACCTCCAACAAGAGGCCTGCAAACTTCACGAGGAGAAGGAGATGTGAGTGTGGCCTCTGTGCACCCCAGCCCTAGCAGCTGCTCTCCTGCCCCACCCCTGTGCGCCTGCAGCCTTCTCCTAGACCCTGGATTTGGGATCCTTGCTGCCTGTCACTTCCCATAGGGTTCTGAGCCTATTAAGCAGGCCAGTGCTGTGGCACATTCCCTAGGATGGACAAGAATATACAGGCCAGTTCTGGAAAATTGATTGTGTGATTAGGAAGACATGCTATTCAACCAACAAACCTTAGGCTGGTTTGTGAGAAAATGCTGAGTGAGCCGCAGACCATGCGTGCCCGGCATAGTTGAGAGACCAGGAGACCAAGGTGGCGGGAATCACGGCAGGGAAACAGGACTAGTGCGCTCCAAGCCTAGGAAGACAAATCTTACTTATTTGGGTGAGAAACTTGTCCATGTTTCCTTTACTTTTTCACTTGGCAAACCATTCTCGAAAATGACTCCATGGTCGGTGCCGTGTTAGGCATCGACATATCTCGCAGATGCCCATGCCTGGTGATCGCTCAGGGTGCCTTTGCAGCAGCTGACCTGCTAGCGCTATTCCTATCAGCTCCAGTGGTTCCGAGGTTTTAAGTAGCTGTCCCAAGATGCTAAGTGCTGGGCACACCTAGTGCTAGAAACCCTCCCCCGCTGCATAAATGAGCAACCGGGAAATATTAACGAGGGAGCAGGACTGGCCATCATGCATTCATTCATTCATGGACTCATTCATTCATGCATCTCCAAAATGTAATTGAGGGCCTGGTCCTGACCTAGGTAGTAGGAACACCTGATTTCAGAGTAAAGGGCAGGCCTACTTACCAATGCCTAATGCTTTACCTGTGATAGCTCCCCTGATTCAAAAATGGAAGCCCATTCTCTGTCTGCTGCCAAATTTAGGTCCTTCTCCCTCAAGCAAGTTGTTCTGCTGTCTGGCTCATTTGTAGTGCCTGTATTATTTAGGATTGATGGGCTGGAGTGAGGGGGAAGAGATGTGTTTGGATTTGGGGTTTTACCTTAGTAAGATATCTCCAGATATTCCCAAGTAGCTGATTTAAAACAATACGCCTCCATCCCAGACCTAGGATGGCCTGTGGAAGGACAGTGTATTTCATTGTAAATGAGCAAAATCAGTTCCTCCTCATTGCGAGCAGGTCAACAAGGCATAAGCGCTTAACTTTACAAACAGAATTAAGGATTCAAGCTCTTTAAATTAAGTCAAGTTCTAAAAGCAACAAACATCTGAAAGCACAAGCATTAGAACAGCAAATGGAAATAAGCAGCCAGGGCTGGAGCATCAGATCACAGCATGAGGATTCAAATCTTTCTGAAGTCTTATCTTAATTAACCAAGCCAGAGACATGGTCTCTGGAGGGTGGGAATTGAAAAAGAGAGAAGGTGAGATATGAATATAAACAATTAGTAAAATTAAAATGAAGAAGAAGGAAGAAAGAAAAAGAGGGAAGGAGGGAGGGGTAGGGGGAATAAAGAAATGATTCCAGAACCTTCTTGAGTTGTTTTCAAGAAGCTTGGAATGTCTTGTACATCTGGAAAGCATGCTGGAGCCCAAGTGAGCATGTCTTATCCAGGGAGGTCAGAGAGAAGGACTAGAGAGGCTTAGCTTGTTCTCTCTAGAATAGAATCCCAGAGGAGGGACTGATAGTACCTCAATGCTCTAATCCACCTCTTCCTTTTATAAATGTAGAAATGAGGTTCAGAGAGGTGCATTGACCAACCCAGAGTCACACAGCTAGTGAGCACCAGAAGACAGAAACAGAACCACCACCTCCTGAGGGCCTGCACCTCCTTCCCCTGCTGATGTGTGGCTGCCTGACACTGCACCGGTGCAGCCCAGAGGAGAGAGAACAGGGTTCAGAGACAAGCACACTCAGTTCTTTATCAGGTAGAATTTTAAATGGGTAAAGCATTCCTGTTCTCTGAAGTTGCTCAAGGAAGAACTAGATTTGGACAGAAGATAAAAGAACAATCAGGCTGGGGTAATGTAAAGATGAAGGGGAGCTGACCCTCGCACCTCTCTATTATGTTAATGAATTTTATCTGGTGTAGGTAGTTCATTCAAAAGATCATACCCTTCAAAAGAGGTTTTCCTCCCTGCCTTAGGTGGCTATGACCCAAGGGGGCCATCCATCATGGCTTCTTCTGGATTCTTCCAGATATTCTATGTGTGTATGCACACACACACACACACACACACATTTTTCCTTTATAAAATAGCAGCCCACCATTTTCTGCATTTGTCTGTACTTTTCACTGCAACAGGATATTTTGGAGAGAATGCCATAGCTCATCCCTCTCCTGGATACAAAGTGCAGGTTTTCTGATCCCATGCATAACCGGGTAAATCAGGAGTCAGAGTCCTCAGTAGTTTTTCCTTTTATTTGGGTTGCCTAGGCATAAACTTTTAGGGGTGCTGGCTGGGGGCTGGGAGGCTGGCAGGCCTCCCAGCCCCAGCAAGTCTTTACTCTATCTGGGCTCTCTGGCGTTCTCTGCTTCTGCTTCGGCTTCTCCTTCAGGTTCTGCTGCTGCTGGCTGGGGCTGCTAGCGTCCCCCCGTGACGCCGCCCTTAAAAGCACAGTCTTAGCTCAGCTGAATCCCATCTACCTATGCCCACACCCTATTCCAGGTGCCCGCCATCAGGCATGCATTCAGGACAAGGATCCATCATCTATCCTGATGGCGGAAGGGCAGAAAAGCCTGACATTTTCTTTACCCTACAGTCCACCCCCTCAGGGTTTTCTGACATATAGTCTATACATATATACACAATTTTCTAAGCAAACAAACAATGCAGCCATGGCCCACAAAAGCAAATACATCAAATAACAAAATACAACATAACAAAATACAACAGAACACAAATAAGTCCAGGCAGGGCACCCAACCAAGTGCAAAAGACAATTATTGGTACCAGCAGATGAGCCACCAAATCTGCTGCCGAAGGCACTGCTCATACGAGGGAGGGGAAATCACACACGGCATCTGCTATAACACACCAGGAGCCGTCAGGCTTCCTGGCCTTCTCTGGCTGTAGTCTCGGCTACAAGGCACACACAGCATCCACCCCCAGGATGCACTAGCTCTGGGATTGGCAATTTTATTCTGTTGGGGTAATCGCCAACCCTCAGGGTTTCTGTCTGCAGTCGCTCCAACACTCGGCCTTCATGGCCACCCATGCGACTCACAGACCCCTGCACTCAAGCCAACCCACTGCACAAGCACATGGGTCGGGGATCCAAACTCTGCATTCGGCTTGGGCTCCACCCAAGCCACATTCCCCACCCATCCCCCAAGGACAGGTTCCTCAGCTCCTCACCCTCGCTCAAGAATGAGCAGGGCATCACCCACAGGTGATTTTACGAGACTCACAGTTCTTCAGCATACCCAGGCTGCTTAACAGCCGCTCAGGGCTTCTCAACTTATCATCAGTACCAGCTTTGCTTTCTCAGTTGGCTTTTCTCCTCCACCTGGCCACTGGGCATACACAGGCTGCTTTTGGCCATCTAGGCCCACTGGCCACCCCCAGATTCTCAAAAAATAAACATAACCTGCTAAGGTCCTCCGCCTTCTGGCAGGATTGTCAGTCCAAAATCATCAGTTCATCAGTCTATCAGTCCATTGGCCTCTCCCTGCTTCAGCAATGGCCTGCTGCCTCAGGGGTCATTGGCTGGTCCTTTCCGGTGTCGTTGGCTGGTCCTATCCGGTGTCGTTGGCTGGTCCTTTCCGGTGTCGTTGGCTGGTCCCTTTCGGGCGTCTCCTTCACGCCAGGTCTCATCCTGTAGCTCGTGGACGTATCCATCTTTTATACCGCCATGGTGCCTCCAGCGTCGTCACAGGCAAAGTCTGTTCTCCTTAGTCCCTCCAGGTCTTCGGAGGGCTCCAATACCCTTCTGCATGGATCTTGCCGACTTACGCCAATTGTAAGGGCAGGAACGGGGCACAGAGCAGGTTTTCTGATCCCATGCAGACCGGGTAAAGGAGGAGTCAGAGTCCTCAGTAGTTTTGCAGGTTTTTATTTGGGGTTCACCAGGCATATGGCAGGCAGGGGTGCTGGCTGGGGGGCTGGGAGGCTGGCAGGCCTCCCAGCCCCCAGCAAGTCTTTACTCTATCTGGGCTCTCTGGCGTTCTCTGCTTCTGCTTCGGCTTCTCCTTCAGGTTCTGCTGCTGCTGGGCTGGGGCTGCTAGCGTCCCCCCGTGACGCCGCCCTTAAAAGCACAGTCTTAGCTCAGCTGAATCCCATCTACCTATGCCCACACCCTATTCCAGGTGCCCGCCATCAGGCATGCATTCAGGACAAGGATCCATCATCTATCCTGATGGCGGAAGGGCAGAAAAGCCTGACATTTTCTTTACCTACAGAGAGAATGCCATAGCTCATCCCTCTCCTGAAAACAAAGTCAACAGCCTTTCCCTAAAGGCAGCCATAACCCCCTCACCAATCAGCACTACAAAAAACAGCAAGTTCTTTCCTTTTCAGTGGACGCATTGCCTAGAGATAAACTTTTAGAATGTCTAGGTTAGAAGGACTTTAGTCAAATATTCAAATACCACTTTTTTCCAGAAGTGCCTTTCTTTTGTAATACACGAAAAATATAAATATGTATGTATATATCCAAATACATGCATGTTACTAGACAAATGGATATAAATTTGCAATATATAATAAATGTGTGGATGTTTACACGTGGGTATGTAACTCTCACATCAATGGGTGTGTGTAACTGGGGGACCTGAAATGCCTTGTTGGTTAGGAACTGGCACCTGGGCCACACAGTCTGAGGACCTGGACCTCAGCTCTCCAGTGAGTGACTGTCCTTAGCAGGAGAAGCCTCCTGCTGGCCCCTGTCCCTGCCTGTGCCAGCGAGGAGTGGGCCCCGGCCTGGCCAAGAGGCAGTCTTGGCTCCAGGCAGCTCCAGTGAGCTCTAGCCCACGTAGTGCCAATCAGCAGAATCCTAGACTGGGGTTTAGGGACCCGGTTTGGATAATGGGAAATACACTGTTTTCCCTCAAGTTGAAATTAAATATAATTGCTAATAAAATGTTAGGAATCCACAGCTCTGCAGGAGCCAGGGAAGTTTTGTTGCTTAATTAGGATTATCTGAGGTAAACTTCAAATTTGATTCAGTGTTACTATCGTAAATTGGCTTTATAATTACCCAAGAAAGCGGGGAGAAGCCACAGATACCTCTTAAGGAATTGGGTTATTGTGAGCTTGGCAAGGGAGCCCTGGACCAGCAGGCTGGTACCATTTCTGCCAGCTCCGTAATGACACAGATGGGCCGCAGATGGCTGCCCTCACCCTGCCCAGGCCGCCCATCCAGGTAGCCCGTGGCAACGGACCCTCTAGGAGGCTGTGTCTTATGGTTTGGAAAGGCAGCTCTTTGGATCCTTTGCAGTGAGCTTGGGAGGCGGTTTAAAATGTTCTAAGCCATGGTGCAGGGCAGAGAGGGAAGGCTGGAGGCAGAGCTGTGCAGCTAAGCGAGGGCTATTTGCCAGGTCACAGAATTCTGCCCTTTCTTCCTGAGTGTGCTGATGCCCTTCAGCTGACTTCCTCCCTCCCGCCTCCCTTCCTCTTTGCTGCCTTCTTCTCGCCCCCTTTTCTCACCCTCTCTCCTTTCCTCCTTCCTGCCAATGTTTGTTGACCCTCCTCCCTGTGGGGGTCAACAGATGCAGACAACCCACTGCCTGAGCAGCCCGCGGTCACCTCAGTCACCCTGCTCTCAGCTCCTCTCCCCTTCCTCAAGACTCCAGTATGACTGACGCCTCACGCTGTGAAACAGCTGATTAGAATTCATTAAATCTCTGCTTTATCATTCGAGATAAGAAATCTTAAGTCAAAGAAATGAATAACAAATGGCGGAAATTCCAGAGATCTGGGGACTACCGACGGGAGATCTTCAGGAGAAAGTGCAGAAGGAGAAATGATTCTTCAAGAGCTCCTGGAAACAAACTAAATGAGCATCTGGAGTCATCCACATAAAAGTTCTGTTCTCACCCTCTGAGGCTGAGCTAGAGAAGAATATAGACGCTAATTCCCTGAACGCTGGGCTGGAGGGGGTGGCATTTGCAGCTGTATTGCAGGGACATGTGCGGTGCCTCCTGACCCAGGCATCGATTGCGATTGCATGTGACCTGGGGAGAAGTCAAATTCCTTGATGGCCCATGGCTGTAAAATGGGGGTCATTTCCCCTTCCAGAGAGGGTGTCTGTGCTGCTGAATGTAGATCAGGCCTGCAAGTGCCTGCACACAGCAGACACTCTCTGTGGCATGTGAGCTCAGCCTGCTAGACTCCAGTGTGCGGCACCCACCCAGGTGGCTCTCTCCCACAACAGTCACTTACCACTGCTATTGCCTGCTCCGCAGGGAAGTGTACCGTGTGACGGAGAGTATGCAGCGGGAGAAGTTGGGGCTCCTGAAACAGCTGGACTTCCTCAGGTATGCGGGCTCTGGATGGGTTCTGAGGGCATGTCCCAGGCACCTCGGTTGGAAGGGCCAGTCTGTGAGTCCTCTGGCCTACGTGCAGAGGAAACATGGCTGTCAGGTTGAGCACCTTCATCCGCCTGGTCCCCAAAGTATTGTTTGGACAGAGCCAAGTACCATCTGGACTCTCCAGTGTATAGCTCTGTTTCATGCTGCTTGGTCTCTACCTGGTGCTTTGTAAAGTACTTGCTTACAGGAGAACTGAATTTATTGAGCATCTACTCAATGCCAGATATTGGATCTCTTTCCTCTTCCACAAGACTTAGGAATGTAGGACATTACTAATGCAGAGTTGATGGATGAGGAAGCTGATATTAGAGAAATGAAGGAACTTAGCAAAAGTGATATAGCTTCTCATTGGTGGAGCCAGAATGGAGACCCATCTCTGGCTGATTTTTGTCCTTCCGCCAATATTCTGCTAATGTTTGTTGAGTGAGTAAAGGAGTCATAAATTAGGAACCAAAAATGGAGCCAAGGAGTTTCCTCAACCTGCTGAAACTCAGTGATAAATTCAAAGCTTGGTCCAGAATGTGCTAAAAACAAGAAACAAACCTGTGGGGAAAGATGGAATTTTCAGTTGTGTCTGTGGAGTGGCTCAGGCCCTGCCACCTGCCTGCCACACACCTCCTGGGTAATGGTGGTAACACAGAAGAACTTGGGGATCTGATTTTTTAAGCACAAGTGGTTTTGAATCAGCTCCATTATGAAAGTTTTTTTTTTTCCTTTTCTAATTTGAAGTTTTGAAAGCCAGGGGAAGTCACTGCATCTGGTCCCTGTGACACTACCCAATTGAAAAGTGCTTTCTTTAAACTGAACGCCCTTCAGGTTGACTTCCTTCAATACATGGTTCCACAGGGTCTCTAGAACCGGGGAGACAGAGGAGGTTCTTTGGGGACCAAGTTCTAATCCATTGACAGAAGAGTGAGATTCTCATGAAGGTTTTGGTGGAAAGATGAGAACAAGATGTATAAGGACAAATTTGGGTTGGTTTGCTTGTGTCTCCTTTTTTTCTTTTGTCCTTAGAAAACATGCAAGGGCAGATTCAGTGAGAATGAGCAGGGGAGAATGACAGAATGATGGGCAGCACTTGACACACGCCTGCGGGTCTTTAATGGAGACTAGCATCAGCGCAGAATCACCCACCTGGAGCCCTTCTGGGCTGTCAAGTGGCTCCTGGACGGAACTCTGCCGGTGGGGAAGGCTGGAGGGGAAGGCGCCACAGCAGACTCTCCTCCACGGTGAAACCACCAGGTGGCAGGAACCGTGGGCAAACAAGAATTAAGGACAGAAGCAGAGGGAGGGGTGTGGTGTGGTGTGGTGGGGTGAGGTGAGGTGTGGTGTGATGGGGTGGTGTGAGGTGGGGTGGGGTGTGGTGGGATGGGGTGTGGTGTGGTGGGGTGTGGTGGGTGGGCAGTGGGAAGGTGGAGGTGGAGGGAACACAGGTGGTAGACTCAGGACAGGGTGATGACTTCACCCTAAGGCAAATGTGGGCAAATGGAAGCAATTGCAGGGCCATGGCGGTGGGGAAGCGGAAGGAGGAAGGCTGGTAACATCTACTTTGGAGCTGGATCTGGCTTCAGGCCTAGCACTGCCAGTCATGACCTTGCGTGACCTTGGGCAACTGATTTCAGGAACTGGAGTCTTAATTTTTTCACACCCACCTCACAGGCTTCTTTTGAGAATTAGGTGATACGAGTGAGTGCCAATCACCAGGCAGCGATGGGGAGGTTCTGCTGCCACCACCTTGGAAGCATTTCCTTAAACACTAAGCATCTCCGGCAAGGAGGTGGAGATAGAAGGCAGGGAACAGTGCAGGTTGCTCCCTGATCAAAATGTGTCTTCCCAGGGCCCCCCAAAGTCCTCACCCAGCTACAAGGGTTGCTAACATTTCCGTCCCCACAGTGGGTCCTTCTGCCATGAGAACCCTACTTTGCTGTTTTCGGTGTTTATAAAATACACTTCTTGTGCCCCTGAACTTGCTCTGAAGTCCTGCTGTGAGCCCACCTGCCACCAGATGTGTGTAGCTGGGATATCATAGCCTGCACTCCTCCTGTTTCCTGCAATGCCTGGCAGGCCCGGGGTGGGGGGTGGGGGGCAGAGGTGCACAGGTGTAGCTGGAGCTCTTGGTGACCCTCTGGGAAGGCGCCCTCTAGCTGTAGGCTGGACCAGTGTTTGATACTGCTGGGCACCACAAAGCCTTGTGTATCCCCCACCCCTGAGCAGATTAACATGCCAACTACCTTACACCACCATCCCTGAGGAGAGAGATTCAGACATTCTAGGTCTTCCTCACCAAGCCGCCCTGGGCACTCATCTGACCTGCAAGCTGATTTCAAGATCTGCTACTGAATAGATTTCCCTTTTCTGTCTACAGGGAAAGGAACAAGCACCTTCGAGATGAACGAGACATGTGCTTCCAGGTAACTGACCAGTGCAGTCTTCTCCTGAGGGAAGACCAGGGCTGTGTCAAGTGGCAGCCGGATCCTATGGGGTGGGCCCAAGAATGTCCCAAGTCTTGGGATCTGCTTTATCCTTTCCATGAGGCCAGGATGGTGGCAGATTATTTGAAAATGATAAAAATGCAGGGTGGCCTGCTGGGTAACAGTGCATTAATTTTCCACAGAGTAGCACGCTTTCCTCTTGGCATGAAGAGACTCAAATATTTGAGAGAGTCACACATGTCCTGGGTGCAGAAAGGACAGTTCTGTCCATGAGACAGTACAGTTGAAGTGCCATGCTCACTTTTAAATCAAAATGCTCAGTTTTTCCTTCATTAAAATGCTTCTCTCTTGATGAAAAATTTGCATTTATAGACCATTCTAGAGCAAATTAAAATGTATATTTCACAATCTACATAGTTGATTTTATGAACATTTTTTACTCTCTGGAGATCCCTACTCCCCGATATCTGAGCACCAGACTTACATAGTTTCCCAAATAACACGGCATCCTATATTTATTTAAAACTAGTCACTGGGTCACGTGAAAGAAAATCTAGGCTTCCACAGGCCTTTACCATCTTCTCCTTCAGACAATCGTCGATGGATGCTCTGAAGGGAAGAAAAACTGGGGCAGGATGGATTGATGTGATTTTTCTAAATTATCAAGATTACATGCCATGAATTTCATGCATGTCCTTGGGCAAATTATTTGCCTCTTAGCTCAGGATCCCAGCTATCACCTGAGGCAACGAATCCCTATCTCCCTTCCCATGTTGTAGGGGTTTTTGAGAAAAACTCCTCGAAAGAGGAGGGTGATATGCGCTGGGCCCTTACCTAGAGAATGGTGGGCCTCCCCAGTGGCGCAAGGGGTTAAGCACAGCACTGTAAAGCTATCTGCAGCCTCTGCAGCATGAGTTTGATCCCCAGCTGGCCAGGGAGCAACGCACATGACACAGCAGACCTCTCCTGGCTCACCCGCTGCTCCCCTCAGCAGTGTAATTCAGTAGATCTGCCTGTTCTGCTCCCCACTCTGTCTCTGGTGAATCCTCTCACCCCTCACACCTCTGGCCTGCACCCCAGCTCTTGTATGCATTAATAAATAAATCTTAAAAAAAGAAAAAAGAATGGCTTGGATACGGTTGGCCTAAGGCAGTTGCATTAGGGCCACCTAGGCAGTCTCCAGGGCCCTCCTCCACACGGCCATTTCTGTCTCATATCTGAGTGGCAGCAAACATCACTGCCATCCACCTACAGGCACTTTTGGAGTAAGGCTGCAGCCTAGACTTGTTTTGATGATGATAGTGATTATAATTGTTTTAGAAGTAACAGTGAATTTATTTTAAAACTTCCAACTAAATGTCAGCCTAATCTCTTGGCCTCACTTCCCTTTACCTGCCAAACTCACTTTGCTTTGAAAACAGAACAGAATTAAGAAGCCTAATGGAGAATAGAAGGAGGGAAACTATTGTGTTCAAGCAGAATAATAATTAAAGATTAATTTGGCAACATTCTAGCTACACCTTTGGGGCCCTGGGAGCAGGGCTGGCCCACCTTCTCTCATTAGGGCTGCAGGGGAATAGTGGGGTGGCTGATTAATGAGCAGTTCTTCCTGTGATCTCACGCCCCTCTGCTCCCAGAAGACATCTGTCAGGGAGTCTTGGCAAAGGGGGCTGTGAGCCTCCTCTTCACCCAGGTTCTCCATCACAGATCTGTGAGCAATTTGTCTCCGCTCAGCCCACTCTCACGAAGCTCTGAAATACGGAATCGTGTGTAGCAGCTGTAGACAGGGGATGCTTCATTGACCCTGGCCTGGCTCCCTTTCTCATAGGTGGGTCTTTGGAAACAAATAGGCCTTACAGCCACACAAGAGCCTGATGTAAAACTGTCACCCTAATCGCTGACCTCACATTCCTTGCCTGATTGTAAATACTTTACCTATGCATTCCACATGATCTCTTGCAAGTATCAGTATTTCCATGAAAGATAATGTGGTGGACCTCAGATTCTAAACTGTGTGGGGGTGCGTTTGCTTAGATTATCAGATTGATGGAATTATGGTGAGAGGTGAGGGCCAAGGCAAAGAGTAGGCGAATGTTCCCAGGAGGCCAGATCATCACATGTGTGCTTCAGAGTTTGGTTTACAGCCTGACCTAGCAGTGGGAAAGTTGAGCCCTTTTCAGCTCAAACAGTGGAACAAGTCAGCTGCTTGCATCTGAGGGTATTTTGTGTTTCTGCAGAAAGATAAGGCAGCCAAGGCAAACATAGCTGCTTTCAAGTCAAGCTGGAAACAGAGATCCGGCTCCGTGATTGGCAAGTACATGGACAGCAGGGGGATTCTTAGAAGGTAAGTCATCGTCCATCTGCTCACTCTTTCTGTCTGTCTCTCTGGGAGCAGTTTCTGAGCCCATGCGGAGTGTAGACTGACCCTTGAGGTGTGGCTTTGGTGGAGAAGCCTGGGATCACTCCCCTTGAATCTTGAGAACATGTTCCGTAGCCTGTTCAGACACCCAAGTGGCATGTGCAGAGCAAACCCCTAGGGCAAGTCATTGCCTTTTGGGCCAGTCCCACCCTGGTGTGAGCCTGCAGGGGGACTGAAGAGTGCTGTCAAACAGCAGAGGAGAGAGAGGATGAGAGGATGGGGCCTGGAGATGGGGGAGTAGCTGGATGATACTCTGCTGTCTGTTGAGCTGGATGGAGGCACTTGGCTTCTCAGATGACTGTGAAGGGCTCTGATGTGTAATTAAAATGTCATACGGAATCACCAATAGTTGCACTCCTGTTGCAGATGAGAAGGGGGCCCATGCAGGGTAGACTGCTCTCAATGATCCCTGTTTAATTAACTCAAAAATAATATTTTGTTGCTGTTGGGCATCACATGATGAAGTTGGGTCCCAAAAGGAGTGGCTCATTGCTCATCCAAAGAGACCAGTTAGCTCCCTGCCCTCTCTTCTGGCACATACACCCCCACACGGAGGCTGCAGAGAGGCAGAGGCAGCCAGACCTCCAAGTAGCAGACCAGAGAGACAGTGTGTGAACTGGCTTATCTTAAAGACTCTGAGGACTGCAAGCCTCAGAGACACAGACATCGAAGGGGAGGTGATTCCAGGAGGGGATCACGGATGTCAGCGAGCTGAGCAGGCAGGTCTTTGGACCCAATCAATGATCATGAATTCCTTTTCTAAGTAGCTGAACTTGGAGGCACAGTTGGGAGCCAGACTTCTTCAATACAAGTTGTCCTGTTGGTCCATGGATGGAATGCTTTCATCACTCATTCATCCAGCAGGCATTTGCTGAGTACCACTCTGTACTGTGGGCTTGCTAGGCTCAAAGGGATGCTTAAGCCGCCATTCTGGCTATGCAGCTTTGACCTTTTCAGTACCATGTCCATCTGGCCCAGTCAATCAATTACCTAAACTAAAAGAATGCAAACTGTGGACCCTGTAAAGTTTCCTCACAAGTTAAACAAGAACAGGATGCTTAATTCCCTGGGACAATGAGTATACATCACGAGGCATGACCAGGAAAATCTGGGGAGCCTTTGACTGATATGTGACTTTGCGTCTCAGAGACTGATCAGCGGAATGCCTTGTTAATAAGATGGGGACCAGGAGTGGGGGTTGGAGGCTTGATTTCAATCTTCAAACATGGGCCATAAAACTGCTCCATAAAACTAATCTGGATCCACAGAATAATCTCCCCAAAGGCCTAGATCACCTAAGCATCCATTTGCTTCCTTCTAACTTTTTTTCTCCTGGTCCTACTGCCCTGAGACCTGAGTCTGTAAAATCACTCACTCAATAAAAAGGCCAGGTTCTGCCTTCTCAGCAGCATCCTGCTGTAGCAGTTTGCTCCACGACTCCAGATTCTTTGGCAGTGTGGTGTTGCCTGATGCAACACTATACCAGCTATTCTTTTGAGCTTTGTGAAGATTCCAAAGAGAAATTAGACATGCATCCTGCCATTAATATTCATTATTGCATGCCTACTAAGTGTGAGGTTCTGTGCTTGGTGCAGGGTATGCAGTGGCAGGCAAAATAGACCTGATCTCTGTTCTCAGGAACTTGTGCTTGAGTAGAGGAAACTGACAGTAAACAAGGAAGCAACAAATTGGGAGCCCTGATTCCAGATGTTGACAGAGGTGACGCTCTCCATGCTGACACATAGCATTTGGTGACAAAACCAAAAATGAAGTTAGTCATGCTAACTTGAAGGTATTACAGGAATGTCATCGTGCTTGAGAATTTCCCAAATAAAAAGCATATTCAAGAAATGCTTCACTTAGGGTCATTTCAGTCACTCTCTCTTTTATGGTGGCTACTCACGTGTGTGCACTTAGATGCACTCTTGGTTGGCTATGTAAAGAGAGTGAAAGCAGATGGGAATGCTAATTGTATTCTGAAGCGGATAAGCAGTTAATAAGCTTGTTAGATATGGAGAGCTTTTTTTTTTTTTTAAAGATGTCAGCTTCTATTAAAGACAGTGAATTTATAAATGAGTGCAAGGGTCCTTGTATCGCTACAAAATATTTTATTTCAAGGAACCCAAACAAAGTCACCATTTTTGTGAGCAAGCACTGCATCTGAATTTATCTTTCAGAATTGCTCTTAACCCCAGAAGGCAATATATGTGCATTTTTTTTCCTTTCCCATCCTATTGTCGGTCCCTCAGAAATAATACTGTAAGAGAATTATTATAAGAGTTTGCATGGCCTGTGCCCTCTATCTGCTGTTTCTCCTTTTCCCTTTGTTGCCTCGGCCCTCATCCTCTTCCTCTCTCTTTCCCTGTCCTTGTGTGTATTTGTGCATGTGTGTACGTGTTTGTGAGTGTGCATGCACATGCATGCAGGCTGTGTACTTTTCAATTTCCTACATAAGACCCTCCCTGTCAAACTTCTGTTCCCTCTAAAACCTTCTCAGCTCTAGAAGGTTTTTTCTAGATGGTCGCCACGGCTGAGAGGAACTCCTGTGCCAGGGGCTGAGGGCTCTGCCTGCAAACCTAAAAAGACAGCCTGATTTCAGGCCTGTTTGCTCATCATGAAATGTGGTCCCTGGGGGTTTGTAGACAGCACGCTCTGCCTATCTCTTGCATTTGATGCCCATGATGAGTCACATTTCTTTAAAAAGATTTATTTAATTTATTTATGCACATACAGGAACTGGGGTGTAGGCCAGAGGTGTGGGGGTGAGAGGATTCACCAGAGACAGAGCGGGGAATAGAAAAGGCAAATCTAGTGAAATACACTGCTGAGAGGATCAGTGGGTGAGTTAGGGGAGGTCTGCTGTGCCATGTGGGTAGCTCCCTGAGCGGGGATCAAACTGGTGCTGCAGTGGCTGTGGATAGCTTCATAGGTTGCATCTTAACCCCTTGTGCCACCAGGTAGGCCCCAATGGGTCACATTTATGAAGAAACTGAGGCCTGAAGTGCCTCAGCTAGGGAAACACAGTAAGTAAGGACTGGCCTTGGGCCCAGAGCTATCCACAGCCACTGCAGCACCAGTTTGATCCCCGCTTAGGGAGCTACCCACATGGCACAGCAGACCTCTTCTGACTTGCCCACTGATCCCCTCAGCAGTGTATTTCGTCAGTCTGCCTTTTCTGTTCCCCACTCTGTCTCTGATGAATCCTCTCATCCCCCACACAGCTGCCTGATTGTTAGCCAGCATCTTTCTTCATGGATCTGTTATGCTCCGTTCATCACAGCCTTTACTTCTCCTTCATAGCACTTCTCACAACTTGTAAAAGTGTATTTATTTGTGTGGTTATGACTCTAACCTCCCAATGAACCAAACATTCCTGGAGGACAGGGATTATCTGTCTATTCTCGAATGTATTTTTAACTTAATATCCAATAGTAATCATCATTCTCATCACCGTCATCACTTTCATCATTACTTTCATCACCTTCACCTCATTTTTATTATCATTATCACCTTCATCTTCACCATCCCCTTCATCACCTTTACGTTCACCTTCCCCAGGATACACTTAGTACAGGTGTCTCCAACTAAAGAATGCAGGGTCTGGGCCTCCCCTGTGGCGCAGCGGTTGAGCGCTGGGTTGTGAAGCTGCCCGCAGCCTCTGCAGCGCCGGTTCAATCCCCGGCTGCTCGCCAGCCACCAGAGGAGGGTCCCACATGGCGCGCAGACCTCTCCTGCCGCCCGCTGCTCCCCTCAGCAGTGTATTTCGGTCTTTCTGCCTGTTCTGTTCCCAGCTCTGGCTCTGGTGAATTCTGTCACCCTCCCGTGCTTCTGACTGTACCCAGTGCTTGTATAAATAAATAAATAAATAGATAGATAAATAGATAGATAAATAAATAAATAAATCTAAATCTAAAAAAAAAAAAAGAATGCAGGGTCTGGCTTGCCCCCACTTTTGGAGCTCTCTGCCCCCAGGCATGGTGATTTGCCACAAAGGCGCGGACAGCACTCCAACTTCCAAATTGATATATTTTATGACATTCTCTGCTCTTTTCTTTCTTCCCCTCCCCAAAATAGCCAGTCAGAAGAGGAAGAAGATGTGTTTGGCATCCCAAGGAGGAAAAGTTCTCTGGGCCTGAGTGGGTATCCGGTTACAGAAGAGGAGCCAGGAGCCAAGGAGTCAGGAACTGGGGGTTCCCTCACCCCGACACTGCGCAGAATCATTTCCATTGAGGAAGACCCTCTGCCCCAGCTCCTGGAGGGCAAGCCACTGAGCAAATGTACAGAAGAGGAGGAGGTGTCTCCCCAGGCTGTGGAAGGACGAACCCAGCAGGCCCCAGCCTTCGAGCTCCTGCCCACCTCCCCTCGGGAGCAGCCTGTTGGAAAAGAGGCCTGGTCTAAGGTGAGGGCACCTCCCACCCTAGGTTGTTTGTCAGTCCTGAGCCTTGTCCCTTGCTGTTGAGCTCTGGTGTCCTGAAGGCAGCTCAGGAGGTCAGAGGCAGTTTGCCTGTGATTCACAGGATGGATGCCTTCAAACACCATCTTCCTTTCTCTAACTGAATGTCACTAGGCCAAAAGGCTATGAATGGCTTTTCTCTGAAACTCAAGCACTGCTACTATCCACTGCCACACCTTTATAGTATTTGTTCTATGAGATGAGCTAATTCCCCCAAATCCACTTTTAAATAGCTTCTAAAGAGCCTCCTCATTTGCCCAGGCAGTGCTGGGCGGGTCTGAGGGCAGGATCTGGGTGAACAAGCAGCTCTCTAGAAAGGGGACTGCGCAGTGGAAAGGCCCCTGTCTCTCACTGGCTCCAGATCCCGGGGTGAGGGCTTTGCCTCTGGGCTTGAACCTCCCTTCCCTCTGCTGCTGGGTGGAAGAGAAGAAGCAGCAGTGTCTGGTTGACTGAAAAACTCTGCCCAAGACCCGTCATGACAGGACTTCCCAACCCACTGATGACATAGTTCCAGCACCCCTGGGATCCTGGGCCGAAGCTGACAAGATAGAACAGACAGCCAAGTGCAAGGAGGCCAGGGTGCCCTTCATTCAGTCCAGGCTTTCAGGCCAGGGCATAAGAGGCCCCTCCCCTGACCTCAGATGTCCCTGAGCACTGGGATAAGTAGAGCCCCCTTCCCTGCACACACCCTCCCTGCCCCATAGGGACCCCCTCCTTTGGGGACCGTGACACCTGCCCATGCTCCCAGAGCACCTACACATCGTGCTGTGATTACTTCCCAGTCTCCTTCACCCTAAGCCAGGCCTACCTCCCAGGCCTGCTCCTCGGGTCCTGCACGCATGTTGATTGAATGAATGTTTCTTCCCCCTATGGAGGCTGGAGGAGCATCCATTCCCTGCTCCCATCTCCCTGCATTCTGAGGCTGGAGCAGCCTCCTGGTGCTACTTGGGGGCCAGGTCCCAACCCTCCCCTGACACCGCGAGGACCAGAAAGGGCAGGTGGTGGCACAGGCCTCCTGGGCTTGGCTGGACTCTCTGCCGTCCACAGGAGGAAAGGTCTCCACCCACCCCTGACCGGCTCTTCAAGATCGTGTTTGTGGGCAACTCGTCTGTGGGGAAGACGTGCTTCCTGAGGAGGTTCTGTGAGGACCGGTTCTCCCCGGGCACAGCAGCCACTGTGGGTGAGTCTCCTTTTTTTTTTTTTTAAAGGTTTATTTATTCATGCATACAAGAAGTGGGGCAGAGGCCAGAGACGTGAAGGGTGAGAGGACCCACCAGAGACAGAGTGGGGAACAGAACAGGAAGACTGACTGAAACACAGTGCTGAGGAGAGCAGAGGGAAAGACAGGAGAGGTCTGCTGCACCATGTTGTCAGCTCCCTGGCCAGGGATCGAACTCCTGCTGCAGTGGCTGCGAACAGCCCCAAAGATTATGTACCAACCCCTTGCGCCACCAGGGAGGCCCGAGTCTCCTTCTTAAGGCAGGGCCTGGCCCACCTTCGTAGGGGGAAGATGTGAAAAGGGGGCTGAGGAGGGATTTGGTGCCTAGAGGGCTGGCCCACAGGGAAGTGGCGAGAGGAAGTTCACCCACACACGTGGCATGGGCACTCCGGAAGTCCAGCTCTGGCTGATACTGAAATGGCAAAGAAGGAGTCCGGTCCTGTATCGCTTTGTCAAGCCCATCTCTCTTGTTATCATTCCTTCCTCCCTTTCCAGTAGGGCCCTGAATCTTCATGCTTCTTCAGGGTCAGGCAGGACAACGTGAGGCCTACACACCCCTGCTCCCTTCAAAAGTGGGCTGCAACCCCCTTGCCAACCCCTCCCTGTGTGGGTGCAGGCGCAGGTGGAATGGAGGACAGACCTCTCCTGCCGCCCGCTGCTCCCCTCAGCAGTGTACTTCGGTCCTTCTGCCTGCTCTGCTCCCCGCTCTGGCTCTGGTGAATTCTCTCACCCTCCCGTGCTTCTGACTGTGCCCAGTGCTTGTATAAATAAATCTTTAAAAAAATACAAATAAAAATAAAAATGAAGGGATTTGAGACCTACTATGCTCTGGGTGATTTCTTTCACCTGTCAAATTTCACCCATCCTTCTTTCCAGGCCTGGTGGGGTGCTGTTGGGAGGCATGGGGGCAGCATTTCAAGCTCAGCTACTAATGGATAAGCCTGGCTGAATATTCCCTCTCTTGGGTAATGTTTTATTCACACAGAGGCTTTTACTCCTCTCACCCAGAGTGGCTCATTGCATTGGAAAGTATGGCAAGACCCAAAGCCTATTGACCTTTTAGCTTCAACCAAGTTGAGTAGCTCAAGCAAAAAATTAATCCTTTGCGTGCCTACTATGTACTATTTAACCAGGCTCATACATTAACTATGCTTGAAAATATATTGACATGACTTTTGTATCTCTCTTCACAACAACCCTGGGGGTAAGTGTTATCACCCAATAGATAGATCAGGTCACTGAGGCCTAGAGAGATTAACAGGTGTGTCCATATGCCTATCAGCTGTTTGGTGGGTGCTGATGCCTCCATCCTGCCACCCACACCCCTTCTATTCCACTTCACGGTCTCCCTAACAACAATGAACTGTGTGTGCTCAGCTCCTGGTGAGTAACAAGGACACTTTCCTGCCAGGGAGAAGGGCAGAGGGTGGTGCAGGCAGGCTGAGGGTTGCAGGCATCAGAAGTCCCGGATCTTCATCTCAGCTCTGCAGTCATCAGAGTGTGTGGCCCCAGGAAGACCTGTTCCCAATTTGGGGCTTTAGTTTTTCTTTGAGTAGTTACTCAAGAATACCTTCAAGCCCAAGTTTCTGTCCTGACTATCTTTGATCCTTGGCCACCTGATGTTTGACTCTCCCTGCCCTGGCCAGAGCCTGTCCAGGGAGACTCCATTTTCTTCCCTTTTTTTTTTTTTTTTTAAAGGATTTTATTCATTCTTTTATACAAGAACCAGGGTACAGGCCAGATTCACGGGACGGTGAGAGGATTTACCAGAGACAGAGCAGAGAGCAAAACAGGCAGACTGACGAAATACACTGCTGAGGGGAGCAGCAGGGAAGGCAGGAGAGGTCTGCTTCGCCATGTGGGACCCTCGCTGGCTGGCGGGGATCGAACCAGCGCTGCAGAGGCTGCGGACAGCTTCACAGCGCTGCGCTCAACCACTTGCGCCTCCAGGGGAGGCCACATTTTCTTCTTTTTTATCCAGAATGGGCCCTTCCAAGTTTCTGCCTACAGAAATAGGTTTCCTCCACAGATTTCAGGTGTCCCAATCTTACGACTGAGCCTTGCCCCATGCCATGGTCACATCTAGATCCTCTCCCATTCCCTCCCTCCTGCCCCTTCCATCCAATGCCTGGGAACATCCCAAGGTGAAGAATGAGGCCCCAGAGGGAAGAAGGGCCAAGCCTGGGAGCCAATCCAGAGCAGTCTGGCCTTGTCTGCCCTGAGGGGAATGCCTGGGTGAGCCTGTGCCTCTGAACCTTCTCTGTGAAGCAAGTGACTCTGGCGTCCCTGCTGGTCCCAACATTCTGGGGGGTCATGACCTCCCCCTTTGCTCTAATCCTGGGCCCTCATTCACTGGCCTTTGCCTGGAGGTATTGCTAGGATGGCCTCTTCCATTACTGCCTCTTTGTTGTCTGTTTTGTCTCTTCTGTTTCTATCTGTCCCTGCTGCTGTTGCTACCCCTCCCTGGACCCTCCAGATCAAGGACCTCAGCGGCCTCTTTGAAAGAGGTAGGGGATCCTCAATTAAAAATAAATAAAAGACAAAAAAAAAATCAATGAAAAAAAGTGGGAGGGGATTTCTTCTGGTTCCAAGATCTGCTATCTTAAGGGGAAAAGGCCTTTTGTATCTCGCTCAGCACTGGGGAACAGTCAGATAGGATGTAGGAGGGAAGAGCGTCTGTTATCAAAGGATCTGCATTAAGGTCCTGGTTGCTGCCATGAGGGACAGAACGCTGGCCCTGACCTCGCGTCCCCTCTTGGCGGCTGGTGACTGCAGCGAGTGTTGCAGCTCAGAGAGATGCTGGTGGAAGGCCCGGTGGCTGGGACCAGGAGTGCTAGGCCCATCTCCAGGGTGAGCCTTGTCTTTGATTTCTTCTCCCACCCATTCACTCCTCTCTTGTCCCTCCCTCCGCTGCCAGACCCTCCCCGGCTCCTCCTGTGCTCCTCTTCCTCTTGACTCCTCCTCCTGCCCTTCCACAAGCCTTTGTACTGGCTGATGGAAGTCTTAAAGTATGGTCCACACACACCCCCATCCACAGCACCCCCGCCCCGGGATATTTGATTTTTCTTGAAGGAACTTGGGAAAGGATTTTAGGGAGAAAGAAAAGAGAGAGAGAGAGACTAGAGGACAGTCTTTCCTCCTGATATTCACAATGAGAGAGTAAATCCATGAATAAGAGCAGTTGGCTTTGCACTGGTAAATCGCTTTTGTACAGGTGACCTCTTTTGACCCCTGAAGAGGGTGTGCTGACAACTGTGGGGAGGGGCCTTTCAGAGACATTAAGTGATACATCAGGTCCCACAGTTAATAAATGGCAGAGACAGGACCAGAGCTCAGGGCTTCTGCCTCACCGTTTTCTGGTGCTCTGACCACTTCCTCTCATGGCTGCCCAGAAACTGCACGGGGAGAGCTGTCACCTTGGAAGTGACAGGCCTGTTCCATCTTGCAGGCATCGATTACCAAGTCAAGACAGTGTGTGTGGACAACTCCCAGGTGGCTCTGCAGCTGTGGGACACGGCTGGGCAGGAGAGGTGAGGAGCTGGTCCCCACGCCCCTGCTCCCCTATTGCAGCCACGGGACTGGGCTGGGAGGGGAGGGGGCACCGCTGACCAGCTGCCTGTGGGCGCAGGTACCGCTGCATCACCCAGCAGTTCTTCAGGAAGGCCGACGGCGTCATCGTCATGTACGACCTCACGGCCAAGCAGTCCTTCCTGTCGGTGCGGCAGTGGCTGAGCAGCGTGGAGGTGAGCTGGTACCTTCCAGGATGCTTATGCTGGACCCTGGCCTCCACTTTCTCTGCCTGTCTCCCACCTGGCCCTCTGTGCTTTCAAAATCTTGCTCCGAAGCCACCTTCTCCAGAACACCTGATTCAGGCATCTGGAGAGCGTCCCTCCCACTGCCCACTACCAGGCTTGTTATTGGGGACCCAAGAGTGAACAAGACAGGCCCAGTCCTGCCTCAGATGAATGCAGATTGTGTCAATTATCACCCTGTTCCATTGGGTTTAGTTCCACGAATGAATGGGATAGGATTGGTGAAGGGCGTGCAGAGAGGAGTGTTAAGGAAGATTTCCCCAGAAAATCTGTATTTCAGTGGAGTCGCAAATGCCTTCTTCCAGAACTGTTCCCACTCCGCCTCTCCCTGCCCATGTCGCTCAGTCATGCCTGGCCTCTGAGCCCCACTACATGGCTTCTCGGGGCCTCTGCCACAACCCTCACATGAGGGAAGGTTGATCTGATCTACAATGTGGGGGCCCAGGCTCACCCAGGCAGGACCACAGAACAGCCTTGCCCTGGAATTCTGGGTTGTCTGTAAAACTTGACTCTCTTGAACCACATTTGTAATCAGTTGCTTTGTCAGAGCTTTGCACTTCCTGCCGGTCTGCGTGTTCTTCTTCTACCACTTGAACCAAGATTTCCAAGGCCAAGAGCAGTGTGGACAAGCCAGTCTTTTCTTTTTACGGGGCCTCAGCTTGTTCTCTAACGAGCAGTCAAGTAGGTTGTCCCAACCCCTTCCACTGGGAGGATCAATTTGTTCACTTCATTGTTCAAAATCCTGCTAGGCGCTGTTTTGAGTCTGGGAATTGCAGCCACAGATAAAAGACAACGTAGCCGTGCTCGCGGAGTTTCTGTGCAACCCTCATGAGACCCCGCGCAGGCTCTTCCCCTCTTACCCCACCACCTTGTGGCTTTGTGAAGGACACATTCGCCACCCGGCAGCTGCCCGTACTCTGTGCACCCCCAATACACCCCCCCCAAGAAGTGAAAGGGCATTCTGGCCTGGGCCCCACAGCTATGCACCTCATGGGCCGGATGCATGCGTGGTCACTGTGTGGTGGTACCAGGGGCACACCACGGGTGGGGACTTCCTTCCTCCATCCCTCTGCTCAGCTCTGATTCCTGCTTCCCAGTCTGCTGTTCTTGCAGTCCGGACTGGCTGGGCCCTCCTCCTCCATCATCCATCCACATCTCTCTCTCACCAAGAAAAACAGGAATGGGAATGGAAGCCAGATTCCAGGGTTTCCCAGAACTTTGCTTAATACAAATTACTTCTCCAAAGTATCATGCCTAAAACATTTATAGTTGAGAAAATGTATGTTTTGAAATGTAGTAAATGGCTTTCCCCTGAGCTAAGCAAACAGTGTGGGAAATCTGGAAGGGATTCCTCAGTAACTTTGGAATTTATGACATGATTTTTTTGACAGCTCCAGCAGATCTCTCTTCCTCACATAAGTTAGGCACTAGGAGAGATTTTAGAGAGAACCTGACCCAGCGGGTCTCAAACTTTCTTCCCTGGATCCCTGGATTCAGACTGCTGGGGATCCGTCAGGGCCAGGCAAGGTCTAGCAGTCACAGTTGGGGGACCCTCTTCCCCGATCTCTGTCAGGGATACTTCTTTCAGCTGTGTATATTGGAGACTCAGGTCCAATTCCATGAAACAAGAGGGTTTCCCTTTAATAGTCACTGATCTAATGCAGTGACTATTAAATCATTCTCATTCTCAAAGAATAAATGACTTCTTCAAGGTCATGCATTTTTCCCCCAGCTGTAGATATTTAACTGTCCCCCAATATCTGAATTTTGATCTACTCTAAAGCCAGGCAGTGGCAGATCAAATAGTGTGAGATTCATGGGGACGGATGGGGACAAGTCGGTGGGGCTGTGCTCTCTGCCATCCTTAGGGCTGCGGTTTCTCAGGCTCCTGTTCTGTACAGAGCCTGCCATTGAGCCGGAGAGGCGGGGCATCAGGCTGAACCTGGTGTTCCAAGGCTGGAGGAAAAGAAATGTCAGAGAGGGGTCATTGCAGTTCAAGGCATGACGTCAGTTCTTTTCCGGGAACTTTCTGTGAATTCCCAGGTGCCCAGCCCTGGCTGAGGGGCAGGGTCCTGCATGGGGGGTGGGTGTGAAAAATCATGGTCAGCACGAGTCCAGCAAGAGGCCCAGAAGCCATGGTGCACCTCTTGGCTCAGGACGCCCAGCTGAGGTGTCAGATCCATGTGTGGTCCCCACAGAGCTTCCCATGCCAGGTGGACCTTTTCAGTATAGAGTTTGAGATTTTCTTCTTTAAAATATTAGCTGAAGATCTCATTAAACCTTTTTTTTAATTCTTTTTCAACACAAATGCAATTTTTTTTTTTTATTTATACAAGCACTGGGTAGTCAGAAGCGCGGGAGGGTGAGAGAATTCACCAGAGAGGAGAGCAGAAGGGGCAGACTGACAAAGCACACTGCTGAGGGGAGCAGCGGGCAGCAGGAGAGGTCTGCGCGCCATGTGGGACCCTCGCCCAGCGGCCAGGGATCAAACTGGTGCTGCAGAGGCTGCAGGCAGCTTTGCAACCCAGCTCTCAACCATTGCGCCACCAGGGAGGCCCTCATTAAACTTTAAATGATGCTTCTAAACCTGGATGAACATCAGGATGACCTATCAAGTTTTCAAACAAAACAAGTGCCAGGGCCTTCTCTCCCCACAGAATGATGCAGGTCCTAGAAATTTTAAAAAGGGAGGGAGGGAAAGAAGAAGAGAGCAAAATCCCAGGAGATTTTGCTCAGCCGCCATGGATCCCAGCCTTAACAAGCACCTCCCAAACTCTAATGTACAAAGGGCTGTCCAGGGGGTCTTGTTAAAATGCAGCATGTCTGGTGGCCTGACCCTCTTTGTTTCTAACCAGTTCTCAGGTGAGACCGATGCTGCTGGTCCAGGGACCACACTTTGAGAAGCAAAGGCTCTGAGTCATCTTCAAAGATGTCTGTGCTCCTTCAACAAAAAATTGCTGAGCCTGTCCCCCAGGCCCCACAGCCACTAGGCATGCTGGAGGGCTTGGGATGAGGACCCAGGAGTCATGTTCAGTTCGGTGGCCCCGGCTTCTGGGGCAAGTGCGGGAGGCTGTGTCAGATGGCGTGTGTGCGTGGAGGGTGTGGAGCGATGGCATCATAAATGCAATTATTCCCGAGATTCTTGAAAAGCTAAGTCATTCTGCCTTGGCAACCAGCAATCAGAGGTGTCAGGTGATAGATTTAAACCTGACACCTAATTTGATCAGAGGGGAACTGAAAATAATAAGTACTTTGTATATGTGGAGCACCTTATTTTTCCAGAGAGCTCCAAGCACTTTGCCAACTCCCTCGCCTGGAGCAGGAGGGTGGAGGGGGAGCTTTAATAACAGGCTTCAAGGTTTGAAGCCTTATTATTAAGTGAATACTGGCCAGCTGTTCTCAGTGCCCCTTCCTCCCTCAACCTGAAAGGCAATTCAAGAAGAGAGGGCTTAAATTGCTGCCGATTATACAAAGCAAAGACTTACCCTTATAAGAGGTTGTGTGGGGTGGGAACAGATGCCCGGGGGAGGTATAGAGTTCCCCCAAAAGGAAGTTCTTACCATTCCCAGCTCAGCCACTTCCTGGCAATGAAACTTCAGCCAATCGCTCAAGAGGGCATAGATATAGGCCCTGCCAGGTTCCTCGTGCCCCCCCACCCCACATTCCACAAGGCATGATCCTGGGGGTGGGGTACAGGCACAGGCTGGAGCAGGTGTGTATGTAGATAAGAGGACCCTGGAGGAGACTTCCAGCCCAGGGGAAACCAAAACTCTTTGGAGCAGGCCAACCAGCTCTTCCCTTGCTTGATGAAGTGAGAGAAGCTTGCCCATGACTGTCCTACCCAGCCTCCTGGTCCACTTCACACCCAGGTGACTTTACCTGGCCTGCTGCTCCTGCAGAAGAGGCCCACCTGGGCCCAGACATTCTGTGCTGATTCTCTTGCCGTTCTACATTTCCTGTGCCTTTACTAGAAATCAAAGTTGTTCGTCTTTGCTGTCAACTCAGGGCCTTCCCAACCCACCTGCACCCCTTCTCAGCTCAGCAGGCTAGGGCTGGTTCAACCAGTGCAATCAAGAGGAGAAAACAGTCAGGCCCTAGGGGCCCCACAGTAGGGCCCGGGACAAACTGGACATCTGAAGACTGTGAGGTCTGTCTGATCAGACAGGGAGAATAGGATTTGGTACAGGCCTGAATGGACTGGTATCTCCCCCAAATCTACATTGTTGGTCCCCTATGGCAACAGCTCTGGCACTCAGCTTTCCATCTGTTTGTTATGTGATAGCTCTGTACTGCTAGGTCTCTAAGTCCAGGACATGGACTATGCCTGGCATTATTGAGCCAATCACCACAACTTGGAGTTTCATCAAATGCAGACTCTTGTTTTATGGATGAGCAAGGATTAGAGCCAGAGAGAGGAAGTGACTTGTCCAGAAGCACCCCCAGTGTGTCAGATGGCACAGCCAGAGCTCGATGCTGCTGTGAGCCTCTCTCGTCACGTGGTCTCTGGTTGACATCTGCTTCAGAAAAAGAGGTGTGCATTTCTTTTTCAGGCCTTTCTGCTTCAGTCTCAAAGCAAAACAGCTCTTTGGCTCAAAGGGGTCAGGACCACTTTCCCTTCCTGGACTGCTTGCTAGTTCTCCTTCTGCGATCTTTGTCATCGCTGACAATGTACAGCACAGAGCAAAAAATAGCAGTTTGATTTTTTTTCCCACATTCCAAGTTGAGCTTGAAGTGCTGGCAGTTTAAAACGAACTACACAAATAAATCTTGTTTTGACTCATAGTCCAGGGGGTGGATAAATATGGAAACCCCCAAGATATAATTTTGCAGTCATTTTTTTCTTAGCATAACTGCATGCTTTAATGTGCTGAGAAATTTTTTGTTCTGGCTCCAGAGAAACAGCAGCACTATCCCTGTTAAGTGCTTTTTCTTGCCTCCCAGCAAATAGATATTAAAGTACACACACACACACACACACTACAACCACCCCAGCCCAACAGCTGCACATCTGAGCTGAATGCCAATCCTCAGCTCCAAGTTGACAGCTCTTGTTATTTAAAGTCAGAGATGGATAATCTTCTGATTTTCAACAAGTCTGTCATCCAACAAGCTCAAGTTCAGGGAGAGGCAACTAAAATGATAGAAGGTGTAAGGGGCTCATGTGTCATAGGAAAGAAATCCACTTTAGAGGCCTATTTCATAGTTCAGAGGATAGAGACCCAGGGAAGTGGAGCCATGCAGAGCCAGGACTGGGGGGCAGGTCGGCCCCAGAGAGATTGTGCCCCAGCTAAGGAGCTTCAAATCCTTCCCTCTGGCCTGGCATCCCCATGGGATTTCACCAGCACCTATAAAAGGGTCAATGACAGAGATTGGGTGGACCTGTTCACCAGGGGAGGTGCGCTTTAGACTTTTAAAAGGAAGTGTCATTTCATTGTTGGATTATCGTGATCCATCACCCTCAGCCTTCTGATTCTTTCATGTGTTTGGAGACAGGCCTAATTCCCCTTTATCAACAGCAGGCAGGGCCCATGGCTGCGGGGTAGGGGGGATGTTTAGGAAGGGGTGTTTGTCCAGAGTAATTGTATAAGTGACCAATGTAGAGAGCAGACCACAGCTCCAGCAGGGAGATGGGCCTTTTTGCTGCTCCTTCTAAACTTTTATTTACATCCAGTCATGGCTCTGAGAAACAAGACTGCCCCTTCTTTTCCCAAGAAGCAGCACTGCTACTCAACATGCAGGGGACTCCACGTAGGGGATACCCGACCTCCTCTGTGTGGTCATTCAAAACCAGGCATCCTCTTTGCAAGTGAGGAAACTCAGACGGCCCATTCCAAGGGATATCAGAACCTGGTTAGCATTGGGCCCTGAAATTTCAAGTCTGATGCTCATATTTCCAGAGAGTTTCCTTGTCAAGAAATCCCACAAGCCTTAGTCATTCCTCACACATAAATCTACAAATATCTCTCTCATGTGCTCCAAACACAAGCCTTTTGGCCCATATCCCTGCTTCCTCATCTTTTCTTCCCTTTCTGTGAAAACTCTTCCCATAAGTTTCTGTGGCGCTCCCAATAACCAGCCCTCTGGTTAATAGGGATCCCCAGCTTTCTAAATAGGTCCTAAGGGGGCATCTCACCTGCCAATATTTGGACTCTGGTGCCACCTACTAAACACCCCAAAACTGCACAATTTCATCTATTTTGATGGGTCAGAAGACACTGAGACTTTGTGATTTCAAACATTAATTACCATCTTCCCAGGGATATGTGGAAATTCCGCTTTTAGAGAGTTGTAGTTAATGGGACACTAAATAACAGTTGATTGGAAAAAAGAATATAGAGAAAATGTTTAGGGCATCGTGGCCTCATAAAAGGTCTTCCTAACTCAGCGACTTTGATCTTCACTGTCCTTGTGGGTTCTGCCTTAATCTCATTTAATAAACCTGAGGTTTCTTTTCACTATGGAGTTGGCAATAAAAAAGAATATGTAGATGAAGGAGGCAGTGAGGCTTAATTTCAAATGTGATCGCATTTAAACTTAAAATAGGTGTGCTACCAGATGGGCTGTGGACATTTATTTGAAATGGTGAGGCAAGCAGCCCAACTATTGGCAAAACTATAACTGCTTGTTAGCTTCCGTTCTCCCACTGTCCTCTCCATTTAGTAAAACATTTAGCTACAGTGAATAACTATTGGTTACCAAATTATGATTAAAAGCCCCTAATTAAATATCTCACAAAGTAAAAATAACAACCTGCCTAAATGTGAATATTACCATATTTACTCACTTAATAGCTCTGCATCCCCAGCTCTTTGTTCACCCCAGGAGAGGCATGTGTGGTATAGCATCTCACCAGGGAGGCCATCTTGGGGTGTAGAGACCCCAGCATGTACACACCCCAGAGTGCAGGCCCCTGGCTGGTATGCCATCATGTTGGAGGAGGAAATAAGTTTGATCCTTGAATCAACCTGTCACTTTTGGCTTCAGAAGTGCAGTTGCTGTGGCCACACAGGACTGCCTTCAGAGCCAGAGCACCCCACCACAGGCATCCCTAGTGCCCCTCCCTGTGAGGTCACCTCTTATGAACAGAGCCATCTGGAGGGCACTGTGGGCCCAATTCAATGAATCAGATTCAGATCCAGGCCTTAGGGAGCGTAGGTGCCGAATCAGAAACCCCTGGAGATGTTACTTCCCATCAAAATGGCCCTGAGAACAGCTCCAAACCACACTGCATTAACCCCATAGGTTCATTTAGATCAAGGCAGGTCATTGAGGAATGCATGAGGGGTGCTGTCAGCCCTGGAAACAGACATAATTCATCGGGGCCAACTGTGGCCTCAGCTTGCGGCCACTCCCAGTACACCTGGGGAGCCTGCATGATCCATCCAGGATCTGAGAGTGTGTGTGTGTGGGGGTTGGGAGGCTGCTACCCAGATGGGGCCTAGGAGGCACCTGGACACAGGCCTCTGCCTCCTGCCTCTTTGCAGAAGTCCGGGGTTTCCCACTCAGCCTCCAGGATGCCTGTCTGCCTGGCCGGTGGTGGCAGCAGAGGGTTCTCAGCAGGACTGTATCTTTTCAGCCAGCACTTTCAGCCTGCCCTTCTGGATTCTCCTTATAGATGTTTCTCTCACTTACCCACTTATCTATTCTATAGGAAGCTGTAGGAGATCACCTTCCTGTTCTTCTGCTGGGCAATAAAATTGACAACGAGAATGAGCGGGAAGTCCCCCGGGGCCTCGGAGAGCAGCTTGCCAAGGTAAAGAGCAAGCCCCTCTGTCTCTCTGGTCAGGGTGGGGCCCTAGGGCAACTGGGCCTGTGCCCAAGGGCCTTGGCAGGAACCTTGTCTGGAAGCCCCCTGGGAAGGAAGAAACCAGCTTCAAGGGGTGTCCTGGCATCATGGGAATGACCCAGCTCCAGTGCGTGTGGAACTTTCCATAGGAAGTCACAGATTGCAAGATGGATGGGCTAGGATAACTAGGGCATGGGGAATTTTCCCAAGCTCTCTTCCTTGGAGGGCAGAATTACCAATTCTTAGTAAGAGGTGCCTTCTCTCAGTCTCCCGTCTGATACTTGAATCCCATCATCTGTTCACACTCATCCTCTGCAAAGCAGCAGGCTCATGCTTGGAGAAAGCACTTTTGCCTTTCATCTGGCAGAAGAGTCTGACCAGATTGGACATGAGGCTCTTTATGATCTTTGTTTACCTCACTTTGAACAAATATTCAAATGGTTCACTGATGATGACGGGGCACTGTCCCAGACCACTGAGGGCACCAGGCAGTATACACATGTAACATCTTCCTAGAACACAGAAATTCTGCACTAAAATAGCTCTGGATCCAATGATTTTGATAAAAGAACTGCAGACCTTTATTTTTATCATCCCATTTTATTTTCTTTTGCCTTTTTTGGTCAGTGGAAAAAAAAAAAAACAACAAGGCTCAGAGAACTTAAGTGATTTATTTAAATGATCACCCAGCTACTCAGTGGTGAGCTCAAGACGAAGCAGGAAGGCAACTCTGGGTCCTATGCATGTCCCTGCCCCTCACCATGGGGGCTCAGCTCTTCCACAGACTGACCCTGCGTCGGGGTCTGCAGAAGTGTGGATGGGTGGAGAGAGCAGAGGTTGGAGCTGGGTCTGCAGGGGTGGGTCAGGAAGGCTGGATGGGAGCTGATGCTTGCAGAACTTCCTAATCTGAGGTCATAGAGGTGTCCTCAGTCGACTGCCCCCACCCCCACAGGGCATCAGCCTCCAGGGTTCAGTGGCACCAGCACTACTCATGGAATACGATGAGCTTTGGCCATGGTCCCCCCTCCGGCCCTGCACACAGCACAGCTCTCCTCCCCAGTGAAGTGATGGGCAAGTGCTGGAGTATTATCTGGTGTGGAGGGAAATTCCATTGGGATGACTCAGTGACATCTGCCCCCAAGACCCCTGGAACATCAGTGTCCCAGGAAAGGCATGCTGCTCTTCCATTAGCTAAAGGCGGCACCTGCATGGGCCAGTCATACATGCCCTCTCTAGCCTCAGTTTCCTGCCCGTGAAGAGGGGAGACTGTTGTCCACCTTGGCCTCTGTCTTTGCCTGATCCAGGCTGGTGTGAAAGGAAATGAACATATCCATACCCGAGAGCAATTTGAGAAAGTATAAAGCAAAAGCAACGGATGGTTTTGTTGTTTTACAATTGTTATAGCTCGCCTGGGAGACAGTTCTGGAGCTTGCATTAAGTCAGGGAGCCCAAGGAGACAGAGATTAGCCATACACAGGATAGGGAGGACATGGAGGCATTAAATGGGACTGCAAGAGGAAGTGAGGGAGGTAGTTGGAGGCAAGCATGGTGTCCCCCCCCTCCCCAGGATACCCTCTGACTCCCCCAGTACTCACTTGCCTTTTATTTCTTCTGCTTTATGATTCTAGGAGAACAATCTGATCTTCTATGAATGCAGTGCCTATTCTGGTCACAACACCAAAGAGTCCTTGCTCCATCTAGCCAGGTAAAGGGTCACAACCCAGCAGGTGACCTGTGCATGCTGCCCTGGTATGGGGGGGGTGTGTGGCCTCACCTCCACCACCAGGCCTTTGAGGCCCTTCCTTCTGTCTGCTTGAGCTGTCTGAGTAAAGGGAATGATGGTCTGGGTCTTTGTGTGGGATTTCAGGGGTCAGTGACAGCCCTCTAAAATACAATAATGATGAAAAAGAAAGCCCCCTGCCTATCACCCCCTCCACTGCAGCCTTCAGAGTCTTAAAGGCTGCCTTTCCCCCAGGGATCCTCTTTTTAAATGCAAATGCTCCTGGGAAAGGTCATACCAAAGGCCCCTCAATACTGCTTACATCAGGGATTAGTGGCCAGCCAACTGAGAAGAGTTATTATACGGGTTCTGGGGGGAGGAGAAAGAGGAGACCAGGAGAAGAGACTGGTGGAGGATGCAAGGACCCAGCTGAATAACACTCAGAAGACTGGCTCAGTGGGAAGGCTGGTTCTCTTCCTACACTTCATTTAAGAAAACAAAACCACACGGGGGTTCACTTTCAATACTTGGGCATTCACTCATTTGTCCATCCAATCATTCATGTAATTCCATCCATCCATCTATCCACCCATCCATGCACACACACACACACACACACACACACACCCATCCACTCATCCATCCACCCACCCATCCATCTATCCACCTATCCACTCATCCATTCATCTACTCATTCACCCACCCATCTGTCTACCCAGCCACTCACCGTTCATTCATCCACCTGGAAAGTATAAAGCAGGGATAAGATGCTAACTCTATTTTTCATCTTTCATCTCCTACATTTAAGTGTAGCGCTAAGGACACATAGGACAGCCCCTCCATAGAATGAATAGCCAATAAAAGTATTTTCTGAGTCGCTACTGTGTGCAGATATACGTACAGGGTTTAGAGACAAAAGATACCGTCTCTGCGCCCAAATAGTTCATTCTCAGCTGAAGGAGCTAGTGAAGGAAGCTGTGCATTATGGTGCCAGGTGATGGAGGATAACAGAGGAGCAGTGTTATTGGGAGCTCCTAAACCAAAGTATCAGGGGAGGCTTCCCGGAGGAGGTGTTGGCTTTACAACTAAACTTTGCCTTTACAAATTATTGACATGCACCTCTACTTCACAGAGGAAGGCTTGGAATATCCTCTCTGAGGCTCTGGTGAAGCTGGGTTCTCTCCCTATTACCCAGATGCCTGTAGCCCCAGGGTGCTTGGGCCAGCTTCTAGTCCTAGCCACTTCCCCACAAGTGACACTGCACATGCCCCTCTTACAGGATCCTCAAGGAGCAAGAGGACACAGTGAAGGAGGACACCATTCAGGTCGGCCGCCCTGCCAAGAAGAAATCCTGCTGTGGCTGACAGGAGGCCTCCCAGGACAGCTCCACCCTGAGGTCATTGGGCCCATCCAGACCTTTGCCCTTGTCGGTGACTTGCCTACCCCAAAGGCAGGGAAGCACATCTAGTCGGAAAAGCTGCTCTTGGGACATCTTGGAGTCCTTTCTCTCCCTTCTCTCTCTAGACCCCAGATGCCCAGTCTTTTTTTCCCCCAGCTTCATTTCCTGGGGGAAGGAAACAGATGGGCTTTTCCAGAAAAACCAGCACATGCCTTCTCCCCCTCTTGTCTCCTCCCCTTGCCCTTAGGAGTCTCAGCACTGCAGTTGCCATGGCAACAGTGGGGGTTGACTGGCTGCTTCCTGTAGGCCAAAGACGCAGCACTTGGGCCATGCCAGGGTGTTGGGTTTGCTTTGACTCCCTGCAGGCTGATGGAGAGAGAGAAGCAGTGCTTGCCGCATGCTTCACAGAGCTTCAGTGGCCCGTGTGGTATGGCCAGAAGCACAGCCAGGGTCCTTCCAGGGTCCTTCCAGGGTCCACCTTCCAGGATCCTTCCCTGACTCACAGCCCAGCCTCTCTCAATGCCCATGCCCATCCCACTGCCCCCCAGCCCCGTCCAGGTCCTCTGGAGCAGCACCTCACACAGACCCACAGCCTTTCTTCTGTACCACCCCCCACAGCCCTGACGCCAAGATGGACTGGGGGTGATACACTTATGCCCGGGGTAAGGGAGGAGGCTTAGTTCCACCTAGACAAAGAGATGAAAAGAAAACCAGGGGGAAACCCACCTGCTGCTAAATAGAACGACCATTTCTGGAGGGTATAAATAAGGTATATATAGCCATGCAAAAGCATTTTCTGAATGTTTCTCAAAATAGCTCTTCGAAAAATCGTACATGATGATTAACTGGGTAGATTGACACACAGGGAGTGAGCCCCAACACCAGGTCCATAGTTACTGACTTCTTATTTTATTTTATTTTCCTTTGTCCCAGAAGACTGTATTTTTTTTAAAGTGTGGCTGTGATATTGACATTTTGCTGGTGTTTGAGAAGCTGCAGACTGCAGCACCCTTACGACTACAGAGCACAAGGTGCTTGGATGCAGGGATGTTCTGGGCCCATGTCTGGTTCCTGTAACTGGCTGGTGCTGAGTTTCTGTCCCTGACACTGACCACCACATCCCTGGCTGGCTGTGACCATGGCTGGGGAGGGCACTGTTGCCCTGGGCTGGAACTTGGGTGAAAAGATGATAAAGATCACTGCCAATTACCATTTCAGGATTGCAGACCCAGCCCCCATGGGAAAGTGGATGTGACCACTCCCTGGTGGGGCACACAAGAAGGGGGAGGAAGGAAAGTGTCCACAGGCCTCCATGAGGATGATGCCAGACATCTGCAATCAGCAGTGTAAGGAAGAAGTGCTGGCGGGAGCTCCCAAGGGTGTTCCCTGCAGCCTCCTCCCAGACCTCAAAAGCATCAGAGCCCCAAAGGTCACCAGGAAGTGCCTACCTCTATTTTGCTGACTTCACTCAGCAAGGCACCAGGGAGCCCCCAAGGTTGACTCCAGCACTGAGCACCAGGGAGCGCTCAGTCATCCCGTTCTGGCCCCCATCTCATCGGTAAAATGAGATGGTAAAATGAGAGGGTCTAGATTCTTCTCACCCTTCTTGCTCAGAGTTCTTGTCATGACATCTTCATGTTCCAACTTGGGCTAACCCTGGTCTTCAGTTCAAGTTTGAAGGGATACGCAGGAAACCCCCTGAGAGGTGCTGGCAATGGCCCCTTGAGGGATGTAAGGGCGAGGGGCACCTCGGAAGTGACCTTCCAGTATCTCTGTGTGTGTTGCTGTGTGGACGTGTGTTGTGTGTGCATGAAGGCCATTTAGGAAAATGTAAACCAGCTGTTCTGCTTCTGACAAAGAAAAAAAACAGAGATAACAGTTGGGACGTATGTGGAATCAGGTTAGATCTGGGGTTCCCTAAGCCTACACCCACCAAGACCTAGTCCCTGGCTTGGGCTGCATGTTTCCATTTAGGAAAATTGCATTCAAGGTTTAGAGTAGAATCGGATGATCCTAGAACCCTGTCTTCCCTCATGTGGGCTAAATCCCCACAGATCTTCAATGTTCCAGGTAGAAAGAGGGAGCAGGAGGGCCTTCAGGCTTTGCTGCTCCCTCCTGTAACCCCACTTGAAAAACTGTATGGAGGACAGGGGCTCAGCTGTGTCCCAGGTCTCAGCCTCTTCTCTCCCCTCAGCAATCAAAGCCACCCAATGGCCGCCAGCCTGAACCAGAGCCTGGCAGAGAAACTTCTGGCTCCACCCCATTTATACTGCTGTATTGGTCTTGAGCAAGTCACTTAACCAGGTTTCGTACTCATCTGTACACTCATAGGTTTTAATGTCTACCTCACAGGGGCATTCTAAGTATTAACGAAGGTGACAGTTGTGAAGTACTTAGCACGGTGCCCAGCACGTAATAGGTGCTTGCAAGCAGGGGCTATTATTATCGTCAAGTCTGGGGTTGCCCAGACCACTTGCCTTGCACAGGTTCAGATTTAGAACCAGCCAACACTTCCTAAGTGCCTCCCCAGAACGGGGTACGCTCACTGAGGCCTGCATGCCCAGCCCACAGGCCTGGCTCATGAGCTTGTACCTGCCTTTGCCTCTCAGCCTTGCTTTCCTTTTTTCTGTGCGATTTTTGGTTTTCCAGTCAGAGCCTACATTGTGCCAGTGCCCACTGTCTGGTTTCCAGCTACAGTCTACTCTTCCCTCTGACAGGGCTCCCCCACCAGTCAGTGCTTTGAATACATCAACGTGTTGTTCTGGTCTCCACGGTTTCTCAGGCAAAATCAGCTTATTGAGGAGCCTCTTTATGTTGATGAGTTGCTGTTGGTGTTCGATCATTTGATTTTGATATATCTAGGAATGGATCTCTTGAGTTTACCCTGCTTGGAGTTTGTTGAACTTCTCGAATGTGTAGATTAATGGCTTTCATTAAATTCAGGAAGTTTTTGCTCTTTATTTCTTTAAATATTCTTCTGCCCCTTTCTCTTCTTTCTAGAATGCCTATTATGCATATGTTAGCAAACTTGCTGATGTCCCATAGGTTTTTGAGGCCCAGTTCATTTTCTGTTATTCTTTTTACTTTGTGTTGCTCAGAAGGGATCATCTATATGACCCTGGCATCAATTTCACTGATTCTTTTTCCTGAAACTTAAGTAGGCAGTTGGGACCCTCAAGTGAATTTTTCATTTCCATTTTTATGCTTTTCAACTCCAGAATTTCTTCTTGGTTCCTTTTCATCATTCTCTATTTATTAGTGAAACATTGTTCTCACACTTTCCTTTAGGCCTTTAGATGTGGTCCACTTTAGGTCTTTGAACATATTTAAAATAGCTGATTTAAAGTTTCAAAGACCTCACATCAGTAGCCTTCCTCCCCGTGCACAAATCAAGCTGCCCTCGCATCACTGCTTCCTTCCTCACACTGCATGCAGCATCGTCATTCTTAGCCTTATTAATCTCGTCCCTTAGTCCCACCTCTAACCTCTTCCCTAGGTTTTCCTCTCTTCTGGAGTGGGGACAGGACATGATAATCAAAAATCCTCCCCTCCCCCTTGAGCTTCTGGATGCCCTACTTGAGTGAGCTGCCCAAGGAGGTGCTGAGGACACCCTCAGCAGCATTCCCGGTCGCATTCCAAGTTGTGCCAGGAATGCAGACACCCACAAACCTTTATTCAAAATGGACAGATGAGGGATAAACCAGAAGTTTTCTTAAAAACAATTTTATTACTTCAAAATAATGATATTATAGTATAAAAATATACAAAAACCAGCCTGTTGCTCACCAAGGGTAGAACAATCACCTCTCTTCCCATTCTCTTGGAGAAATTGACCATACAAACTCCAATCAACTTTAGTTAAAATTCATAGGATTTTACTTTATTGATTATTCTCTTCTTTTTATGCTCATAGTGTGGTGGTGGGGTGTGTGTATGTGTGTCTGTGTGTGTGTGTATGTGTGTGTGTGTCAGGGCAGGGAATAGGGATGATGAATGTTGACTGTTTGATGGGATATAGAAGCTTTCTGAGCCTCCCCCACCTCCTAACTCTATTAATGTTTCTATTAATAGCATGTTAATTATTAGCAGTAGCAGTAACAAAGCACATCATAACTCCACCTTTCACACCATTCAGTGGAACCAATTTAATCGAAGTGCCCTACTTAGGAAGAGCTTTGTTGGAAGTGATGGGGGCTGGGAAACCATATGGTGTTTGGCAGAGGACCTGAAGTCGATGTGGAGACTGAGGAGCACGGTGAGGTTTTGTCATTTATCATCCTGGGACAGGACTGAGTCTGGTCCAGCCCTGCCCTTTCTCAGGACTGAAGCTTTATAGGGGTTTCGGCACTGGTCTAGAAGTGCTCCTTGCAGGCTCTTGTTAAAGCACTGGGAGATTCCTCTCCCAATAAATGAGGACTCTTAGTTCCAGTGAGACCTGTACCATGATAATGAATTATGACTGGGTCCATCTGACCTATCATCATAAATACCACACTCAAAAACATGGCTCTACTAAGCAAAAATGCCCAAAGTACAGGAACAAAGAAAATAAGATTTTTTTTTTTTAACTTGAAAAGGAAAATTGAAACATGGAACTCAAGGGGCCTCTTTCTGAATTGAGTACTGTGACAGCGGAGCTGAGATTCACTGAGCATGTGCAGCACTAGGTCAAGGGCACAGTGTTGGGGTATGAGCCAACATCTGGTCCATGGGCGCTCCGGGCCATTCTGTAATGATAGTGTGCTGTGCTTATTTATACACACCACCTCCCAGGGCTCTGCTGAGCGAAATGCACTGGACCATGCTCCCCGGGGGCAAGAGCATTCATCTCGGTTGCCTCATGCTTGGCACGGTGTCTGGAAACAATGTTGGCATTATAGGAGCAGTAGGGAACAGAGCATCACTTCTCCAGAACAAGGCCACCGCTTGGTGAGTCACTCCATTGCAGCCCCAGGACCCAGCAGTAGAACAACTGGGCCCCTTGGCCTGGCAGACTCATGGGGTTTGCCTCACTGGTTCACATGAGATGCTGCTTCTGGCTTTTAAAGCAAAACACTAGGAGGGTTCCCACAGCTACTCTCCAGCGCCTTTTAAGATAGCATGAGGCCCCCCAAACTCCCCATCCCAGCCTGCAGCCCCAAGCTGCCCAGTCACATCCACATTACCCATGGGCAGCTCAACTATTCAATTTAACCTGAGTCCCAGGCCTCTGTGCTTCCTGCTGGGGAGTCAGCCATGTTTCCCAGGCTGGGCCTCTCCCAAGAGCTTCCTTCAGCCCCTAAAGACCTGCTTAGAGTAAGAACCCACAGACAAGGTGTATGGTCTGGGGCAAAACATGCTAAATGTTCTGAGCCCCAACTTCCCCATACAGGAAACAGTGCTGTGTGCCCTACTGAACCACAGGGTAGCATGAGGGCAAATGCCAACACGGGGGACAAGAAGGTCGACTAAAAGGCTCCAGGCAAAGTGTTAGTTACTGCACCTGTCTCTGTGAAAGAAACCAAAACAATACAAAATCAGAAAGGGAGAGAAAAACCCCACTCTTTTAGGTAACCAGGAGAAGCTGGGGTCTCAGGTGAAAGCATTTCCCCTTCCCCTGGGCTAGTAGAACAAAGCAAACTTGCATTCCTTCAAGTAGAGGCTTTCGTCTAAGCTCACCTTGTATCTTCCCACTGTGTGGGGAGTTGGGGGGCAGCATCACCGATGACAAGGGTCTCTTTGGCAGGATTCTGGTCTTAATCAGTTTTGCACTTACTAGGGTCTGGTACGTGACACAGCTTTCCTCCACTACATGGAAGTAGGAGGCCATTTTGGGTATCTAGGAATGCTATTACCATTAATTTATATTTAAAAAGTTGAGCATTACCAGACCCCACCCCACTCCTGAAAAAAAAAAAGTAACCTAGTAAATCATACCTAATAGGAACTTTATACTTCCGAGTAGTGGGAAGAGCTTAACACTCAGTGCGTGGCTGGTGGGCTTGGTGCCCAGCCAAGGCATGAGACCCTGCATTCCTAATCGGACTACATGTACTTGATTGGTTTATAAAACACTTTCACTTGAAAAAGTTCTGGAATTGGAGGGTAGTGATGATTGTACAGAATCACGTCACTGAATTGTACATTTTTAAAAGGTTAAAATTTAAATGGTAAATTTTATGTCATGTATATTTTATCACAATAAATTTTTTTGAAAACCACTTTCACAAACATTTATGTTCTATGAATGAAGAAATGATTCTCTTCAACGCCCACCAGCTGAGGCCCTCAGCTACTAGATGTTTAGCTCAGTTGCATCAGTGAAAGGATTGGCGCAGTAAAGAGAAGGAGAGGCAGGCCAAGTTTCTCACAGGCAGGAAAACTTTATTCGAGCTCCCGGGCGAGGTTCAAGGACCCAGAGTGGGGGTCAGTAAAGTCACGTCCATTGTCAGGGGAAGGCAGGTTTTTATAGGGAACTGGTTTGATGAGGAACAGAGTTGCTTTTCTCAGTTCAACAGTTCAATGGTTCTTGAGTCAGCTGTGGTTCTGATGGCATCAGCAGGCCCTCATTCTTGCCCCTAGGCGGGCTTCCTCGTTCTCGCCCCCCAGGTGGGCTTCCTGGTGGGCTTTTGCCTTCCTGTCCCCTGCATTGACCTTTCAATCAGGAGGCAAGGGAGCAGGAAGGAAGACAAATAGTTTGTGGCCTTTGGGGCTTCAACGGACTTGAGGTGAGGGAACAGCTAGGAACCCGCAAGTAACACCCCCGGTTCCCCTTTGAAGGACTGCAAGCCATCCCACCCTGGCTCTGCTTGGGGAAGGCCCTCGGCGCTCCCAGCATTTCTGCCCCGGCCCATGCACACATTTCTCCTTAGGAATTTTCTCCTGTAGATTAATTCCCAGGGTCAAGTCTCCACACCATGTGCCAACAGAGGGGTTTGGGACAGTGTGTTGAATAATGACCAAAAATGAATGACAGAAGTCTACTGTTCCTGAAATTTTCTCATTGACTATGGCAGGAAGCACAGGACATTAACACCCCGAAATATTTTAATTTTGCAGAGATTTACAGTGTAGTAATTTATGGTAAAGAGATTAGAAACCAGCCTAGAAGAATAGCAAGTAGAAAAGAACCTGGACATCGTGTTTGAGCATCAAGGGCTGACACTGGTATTCAACACCTCTGAGTGGCACAAGAGGACCTGTTAGGGACACTGTGCACGGAACACATGGATTGCGGTTCATCCCAAGGAAGCTGATCCCCGTGAGCCCTGTCCAGTGGTGGATCAGCCTGCCTCACTGGGTACCACTGGACGAGAGTACCTCTCTGGCACTAGAGGGATTCAAGCAGGTCTTGCATGTCCTGCTCTTAGGAATGCCGGGGTGACTTGGATACACCAAATTGCAAGGTGCCCATTCCACCCCACCTTCTTCCCTGGTCTAGGATTCTTTCGAACTGAGATTGATGTGGCTTGACGGGGGTCAGGATGGCTGAGCAGGAATCTGTCCTGGCCTGGGAGAATGTGGGGGCTGCTCATGTCCTTACTTCCGTCTCTCACAAGCCCTCTCCACCTGCTCTGCTCTTCTTCTTCAAACACATTTCTCTCCCTTTCTTTCTTTCTTTCTCTTTCTTGCCACCATTCTCCACCCCCTTGCTCCCACAGTGAGGGAGAGCTGAGCACCTGGCCTGCAAGTCTAGGGGAGACATCCCAGCTCAACAGCTTCCCTGGCTGGTGAGAGGTGCTGAATCCTTGCCAGCGTCCTGCCAGCTCCTCTATTGTGGCAAGTGAAATTACCAGCTTCACAGTGCGGGTCTATTTAAATCAGCCTTTCAGGTCTGATGGATTTAAAAATATGCTGGAAGTCAGCATCTTCAATTCAAGAAACACAAACAAGCAGATGAGGCTGCATTTCCCTTCCTCAGGGCCCTCCCCACCCTCTCTCCTTCCCTCCTTCCTGCTC